AATAACGTTAAACAGATGTAAAAAGCAAAAAAAACTGTTGAAAACCGGATAAAAACGCTGCAATGAAGTTTGAAATCTTTCATTTGGCGGCTTTTCAAAGTGCAAGTTTCCGTTCCAGGACCAGCAATTCGCAACGCGGGTTTGATTTTTGATGCGTCCTTTAAATTTCCCCCGCATTGACGTTCCTGTTTCCTGGGACGTTGTCTAGACTGTTGCGCTTATTGTTCTGAGCAACAATCGCCCAAGCTGGAAAAAAATCAATGCGAGCGCTGAAATGGAACAAGGTAAAGAAAAACGCACTTTTTACGATTTTTCGCAAAAAATTCCACTATAATCGAAGAGGTAAGGGCTGGGTGGTTGTCTGCGATATGAACAGAAGCAAAATCTATAAAATGCACGAAAAATCTGCGTGAAAAGAGTTAAACTAGAAGAAAAACAAGAGATTTTCGAAAAAGGTTTTTGCCGGATTTCTCAATCAAATCAAAAAATGTGTTTCTGGGACGTTGTCGGCGTGAAAATAGAGATCAAGAGCTTCAATAGCTTGCTAAAAATGGGTTCGAAACAGCAAAGAAAAGGGTACCAGAGCCAAATGCCCCGCGTTTGGGGTAGCGAGGTAGCGCGCAGCGCGCGGAGACGCAGACGAGCAGCGGAGACAGACCAGAGCCGACGGGGCATTTGGCTCTGGTCGTAGATCTCCGCGGGGTCTCAACGAAACCCTGCAACATTATATATCATTCTGATCGTCGTGACACGACAAGGAGAACTGACAACGTCCCAAGCTTTGAAAATTACCCATTAACGAGATAAACCAGCGTTTTCTTGCGCGACTCTCTGCGCAAGATTTAAGCGCAGTTTCTTGTTTTTATTCAACTTCGATAGCTTTCCTAAACTTCTGAAACTCGATTTTGGTCAAATGAGAGGTTAACTGAGAAATTTTGTCTTGTGGCGAAAATTCCACAGAAACTTTCTTTTTAACACAGAAAAGGCTATGAAAAGCAAATTCTCGGTTTCGCTGAGATAAGTTAAAGACATTAGTCCCTATATTTGCTTCATTAGCATTCGTTCCGAAATATTCAAGATAATAACATTCGGGGCTCCGCCCCGGATGACTTCTGTTTTTCCCAGGTGAAGGTTGTGTCCCCTCATAGCCCTCAAAGTGAAGGTTACCAGAGTACGAGGCTCTATGTATCGAGGGTATGGTTGTACGGGGGGATGAGAGCTTTACCATAGTGTTTTGATAGGGCCGGGCGGAGCCGGGTAAGCCAGCTAGTCCACTTGCTAATCGTGTGTAGCTACTTGCATACAATTTGCTGAGCAATCCCGATTTGAATACAGATACAAAAAATGTGCGCCGTACTTATCGTTGCTCAGTAACGTATAGTGGAAAACCAAAAAGCGGAATAAATCAGATTTTGTTTTTTTAATTTTTTTGAGTTATGATTTTTGATCAGAAAAGATCAATTTATTTCGTTTCCGGTTCAAATTGCAAGCTCACGTAGAAGATATAAATATATTATGTGAACAAATTTTCACCGAAGCCAAATGTTGAGGACATAGGATGTGAAAGTCTCAGCTTTAAGCGGAATTTTGTTTGCACCATTTTCTAGAAATCGTAACTATTAGGTTGAACCGAAAGTTCGTTCGCACCATTTTCAAAAAATCATAACTTCTTTCCGTCACAACAATTTTGCGCAGTTCAAATTTTTTCAGAAAGCAGCACATAGCTTCTAAAAATACCCTGGTGACTTTCCAACATACTCAGGTTGCAGAGATAAAAATAAAAGAACGAGATCATTCGAAATTCGGAATTTTTAAGCAAAAATTCTAAAAATCTGAAAACTGTGCGATAAAATCCAGAATAGCTATCAGCCTAAGTTTTCTTATAATTTATTATTAGCTGAACCAAGTTTGTGCTGATCGAGCTCTTCTTTCGAAAGGTATGATTCTTTGAAGAAAAATGCCGAAAACTTCTTAAGAATTAATGAGAAATTAATTTTCAGCATTTAAAAAAAAATCATGACTTTTGAAAGAAGAGCTCGATCAGCACAAACTTGGCTCAGTTAGTAGTAGAATGTAGCTGTTTTGGATTTTTCAAACAGTTTCTAGATTTTTAGAATTTTTGCTCAAAAATTCCGAATTTCGGATGATCTCGTTTTTTAATTTTTATCTCTGCAATCTGAGCATGTTGGAAAATCCTCAGGGGACCTTTAGAAACTACAAGCTTTACGCTTTCTCATGAAATTTGAATTGCGCAAAATCGTTGGGAGAGAAAGAAGTTATGATTTTTTGAAAATGGTGCGAACGAACTTTTGGTTCAACCTAATATATTCTTCTTTAATAATAGAAATACTCATGAGAAGAGCAAACTTTGAAACCTCTAAAGATGTCTCATATGTCCCCTATCAAGTTCTGACCTCAGAGATAAAAATGGAAGGATGAAACCACCCAAGCTTCGTTGATTTCAGCAAACTCATTGAAAATCTAAAATCATGCAGGAAGATCCAAATTAATTGGAATTATAGCTTTAAGGCCCCCCCCCCTTTCCGCTCAAAGTTTATGCTAATCGAGTTTTCTCTGGAAAGTCATAAAATTTTAAGTTGTTAATATTAAGTGGATTTCGATCATATGTATTTTTTTCGAGGATGTCAAAAAAAAAACAATATTCCCGTGTTTTGCTGTTTTCGGCATTTTCTAAGTGCATAATCTTCATTTAAAAAAAGCTCGATCGGCACAAACTTTCCACAGTTTAAAAAGGACATCCTAAACTCTGCCATACCAACTATTTTTGATTTTCTCGCATGGATTAGTTTCTGTAACTTTGCTTAACATCACTGCCTGGATGATCTTATGCTTCATTTTGATTCCTGCTGTCAGATTTCAGTAGAGAATTACGAGGTATCTTTAAACGTTCAAGGTTTACTGACAGCACTATTAGTAAAGTCGAAAGAAGTCACCATTGTTTGAAGGTGGTGCGAGCGAACTTTCGGTTCAGTCTTCTAACCACATATGCTTGCAAGTACTAATGTTTTCGCCTATTCAAGCTGGCCTTCAAGAACTCTCCAGTTTATTTTTGAAGTCCCGCGTTCCAAAGGGATCACAGATTGAAAACTTTGGAACTGTAATGTTTTGAAACTCCTACTCTACTTATTTAAAAAAGTAATCTCCCTGAACTATAAATATGTTGAAGTCACCGCATTACGAATTACATTGGGATAGTTCGCAAATTCAATGTATCTCAAGGAAAAATAACACTCAGAAATGTGGAAAGTGTTTCATCGAACGGTACCTTAATTTGCTCATCTTTGTTTTCGAGCGAAGCATCAACACTTCTTGAAAAGTCTATGAATGAAAATTAGCTAAAGTTAGACAAGTAAAAAAAGATGGGTTAAAAACTTTGGAAAAATCCAAGTGCGATAAAATGAGTTCGAATTAGCGTGGAAATGGATGTCCGTCTATCTTCAGCTTACGAACTATCAGCAAATCATATGTAGTACCCAAATCAATAAAAATAAATTAGAACCATGAAGGGTTGTAACGGAAAATAGAGCGAAACTATAATGACGTTGGTTTTTTCTATGCACTTCCAAATACCAGGACGGTGTAAAAGTTTCTTCCTTTTTTTGAGCCTACTGCAAATTCCATGGAATTAAACGATCATTTCAAAAAATATCTGATGTAGAATTCTTCCTTTTCTAAGCAGCTACGCTTAGAAAGTGATCCCTTAGAACGCGGGAATTTGTCAAAGTTTTCAAACCTTCATTCTTACCCTGTCCAGTTTTCATTTATCTTCAGATATATTTAAAGCTTTGAGTGAATTTGATAGCCATCTGGAGCTAGCTTTTTGCAATTTAATAAAATTTTGTGATTCTCTTTTCGTTTTTCAAGGACCTAGAATGTTTTTGAATTGATCAACTTTTACTACTGGTTTATATTTATTTAAGCCTCAAAACAAGAGATATTGATTGAAATTTTCATTTCGAAGCGAATTCGCTTACTTACTTTGTAGGGTATCATAACTACAACTATAACAATCAATGTAATATTGAAACCAATGAATTTCCTTGACATAAAATCTTTAGCGAGATGTTCCAGTGTGCATCTGCTCTCCCTTTGTTCAATTAACGCTTTAGTGGCCAATCGCCATTTCCTTTCGAGCAGAATCTTCCAAAAGCATCTGATTTTTTGTCACATTTATTTTGCAGCCAGATTCTTGCCACTGCATGCCGAGTCAAGAAATTCTTTTTTCAGAGTAAATATCTCAGCATATACCCGGTACCAATACTAATAGCAAGTTTGCTCATTTCAAAATCCTGCTAGTGACACTTCTGCAGCTGACATTTTGCAACTTTTCGTTGACTTTTGTAAACACTAGATAACATTATTTCCAAAAAAAACCCCTATGTCATGGATCATCTAGACAAATGAGAGGTGCAATTGGCAGTCTTTAGGCAGTCTGGTCCAAGCTTTTCTTGATCTCAAAGTTTTCGTTTACTTGTTTGTGTCCCATCATGCGATGGGCTCGCGTGCGCTCGTTCTATGCGGCCACTTCATATTTCCGACATTGGCAGCTAAAGTATCATTTAGTACCGTTTATCACATAGAGGAGGTTAGTTCATTCATACTTGAGAGATTTTTTTAAATTTTTATCACTTACTTCAGGCACATCATAATGTATGCAAACCATCCGAACGTTCTAGTGGTACATGGTGTCGTTCTGAACTTCATCCGTGACACAAGAGGCTAAAAGGATGAAAAATGTCAAGCAATAGCTTTACAAATCGCCAAAGCGGAGGCATCTAATTGTAAGTCATTCGAATACACGTACTGAACTTCCACTACAATACTTTACTTGTGCTCCGTGATCACTTGAGAGCGATTCACAGCCTCATTGTGTCAATACCTTAGGATATGAACTATAGTTAGGCTAGAGTTGCCGTTCTAGAGCCGTATGCCATCTTTGTTGCTGCTTTTTATTTTACATAAATAAACTTCATTTAGATGACAGCAATGTATTACAATAACACAGACACAACAGACAGACCCATTATGACAGAAAGAAAGTATGGAACATAATACTATAATGCTGATAACTATACCGGTTCGATTTCTAAGAGAACTTAGATACTCATAAAGCGACTCAGAAGTAACTAATCATCACAAGAGATTATGCACAGTGTGCGGACCATCAAATGACATCACCAAGCAGCAGGGAAGCACCTTATCTGCGATTATAGAAAGCAGGTGGCCAATCGAACTTTAGTTTGGAGTGTCGAATCGAGGAGACTTCACTGATGTTCTTCTGCAGTGACATTCTCGTCCTCCGAAATGGCAACTCGATCGTCGCCTGCACAAAACGCTGTCGTGCAAGTTGTATCCACATAGATATAGGTATCCAAAACTTACTGCGCCCTCTTCTCAGAAGTTGTCTAATGCGTGAAGGAATAAGTGACAGCAAAACCATAATGACTAGTACGAGACAGCCTCCCAAGACGTAGACCATGATAATTCGGTAAAAACTCGTGCACGCCTGATTCGGCTGTGTGGGGCTGCTAAATGCGTAAACGATGAGTCGAAATATACTTGTTGAAGATGTTACTCACTCGCATGGATTCCATAATTCTATAATTTGGTAGCTCAAACCGTTAGCCAATTTATCCACAAAACTCATTGCACCGTATACAAAAGCTCCGCTTTCCTAAAAACCCCATGCAATTGTAGAATCAAAATCTTGCTCGGAACAAGTTCTTACCGTATTTTTATTTATGAGATCAGCAGTAATCGACAAGGAAGTTATCGAAAGAATAGCCTGTGTAACACCTGGAAAAGAAACACGTACATAGGACGTCAACATCTCTTTGAAAAAGTGAAGATTTGGTATCCACAACGAACCTATCAAAGTGGCAACATAATACATCTGATATAACGAAAGATCGAAGAGCATCCAGCCACATGTATGCAGTCCACAAGCTAAACCAAGAGGGAGGAGAAACTGAAGCTGGCGCTTAGTAAACTGGCAGGAACTTGGAAAGAGTTTTACCTTTCTAACAACAATACTTTTGAAGCATGGAATCGTGAAAACTGACACCCAAAACGATGAAAAATAGGAGACCATAGGGAAGAGAGCGACGTATTCCTAGAAAGAAATAACTGACTTGAGTTCATTTTTGAACAAATGCGGGTTGCACCCACCTTCCCATAATTCTGTGTCAGTGTTATATAAAACGGAAAGTAAACTTGTGAGATGTTGACGTATAAGCGAGATAATATGTACAGGAGAGCAGTCTTCAAAAAGTTTAAAGCAAAATTGCATCTCGCACAGATAATAGTACCTGATAAAAGTGTATATGGCCGAACCAGCTTGTCCAGTGCATTCTTACAAGTTCACTTGCATCCGATGAAAAGAAATGCGTACGACTAAGAATATATTGATTTCAACTTAAGTATACAGCAAACAAGTAAATTACCTTATCCTTCTACCAAATTTCGGTTCACGAACAAGCAGGTAGAAGAGCATAGTGACTGCCAGTCCTCCTGCTACGACCAAAAAACCAGTAGTCTGAGATTTTCACATAAAAGAGATATATTCAAAAAATGACTTGTACCTACCCGGAAATGCTGAAAGTCAGCGGGCCCAATTTGCGACTGATGCGTACTTTCGGACAAAAACTGAGCAAGAATAAAAAACACTGAGAAATTTGCTATAACGGTGAATGAATGTCTGAAACTGAGACAGAAATAAACATCGAGAAAATATAGTCTCGGACTACCTTCGTGAGCTCATTGTAGTTCGACTACTATCAAGTGAAGATAGTTCCGGTATTAGCGCTAGATGTGAGGTCTACATAAGAAATTTTACTAAATTCGCGAATTACAATAAAAAGCAGAATTTACCTGGACCGACGCCCACCCGAACTTGAAAACCACAACAAAAGGAACAAACCATAGAACCTTCAACCACTCAGGCTGATTGTCCGAACAGAATAAGCAGCGATTGAATATGAAAGGGAAAGAGATAGTTACAAAGATAGTACCTTAAGAATGCAAATCAACAAATACATAACGCTTTGACGATATTCAACTTTATATCAAACGAACCGATTATGTGCCACGACATTCGCCGACCAATTTTATCAAAAATTTTTGGTAATATACTTGAATCACTAGCGATGCCAATAAGAGGAGTGGAGACAGCATCTGTCACCTAGAAGTAGCGTAAAATCGGAACAAAAAAAAAGCAGTAGGAACCCACTTGTCCAATCAGCATCAACAATCCTGCCCAAGAACTTCGAAGTTTGAGAACTTGTTCAAGGTAAATCATCAAATAAGTGAACCACATACTATCGCATAGGTCGTTGTAGAAATGACCGGCACCTGAAAATGGACAGTTCTTCTCATAGATCAGTTCTGAACCTTGAAAAAATACCATAGCCTATCTTCCTCCACCATTCGATATCATGATCTGAGCTTAGGCGAGGACGAATAACCTGAACAAAACTAACCCAGTTCTTCCATTATGTTGCACCCTCTAGATACTCCAAAAAAGGAAACATTTTGATACTGATTACGATTAGTATATGACTGTGGATAAATCTGCATAAAGAGTAGCTGACTTGCTCGTTGTCATCACTTGGTATGGGCTGCACTTCTGCTACATCCATTACTACATAAAGCTACAGTGTTTGGAGCTGTAACAAACCAAATTTAAAACTGTGACAATACTAAAACAGGTTGCGTAAAAACGATGGCCAAAACCAAATATCGATGCTAGTATATATAAAATCAAAACGCCGTAGCTTGGTAGTATATAGTATATCTGCGTTGTTATCACTAAGATTATGTAAATCAATGATTTTTTACCACTCCGTTTTCGTTTATATGCAACTGACTATGTGGCAGTGGCGGTCTCAGGTTTTCAGACCGGTAGGGGGCGACAAAAATTTTTTTGAGATGAAGGTGCGTGGCGTTAGCCACGCGCTCCGAAAATTTTTTTGGGATGCCCCTCAAAATTTCTGCGGGTCCCTAACACCTAGAATCTGAAAAAAGGGGGCGTGGAGTCCTAATTTGAATTTTCAAAAAATTTTAAATTATTTAATTATTAGGTTGGTGCAAAAGGTCTTGCGCACGATTTTCAAAAATTCATAACTTCCGATTTTTTCAACCAATTTGGCCGCTTTTATTTTTGTATAAAAGAGTAACTCATGCTCTTCATAATGGCATCTTAGCTGCTTGCTAATGATCATCTGTTTCATAGATACGAGCGATAGAAGAAAATTGGTCAAAATTTGAATTTTCTGTGTAGGGTCATAAAAAATCGGAAACTTGCAAGAAAAATCGGAGTCAGTATTGTAGGTCCTTTTACCAGCTCTTTCTAATGGTGCAAAGTTTGCGTCGATTGAGCGTCTCTACCAAAAGTTATGATTTTCCTGAAAAATGCCAAAATAAATCAAAATCGCCCTTTTGTATTGCTTGCTCGAAAATCATAACTTTTGATAGAGACGCTCAATCGACGCAAACTTTGCACCATTAGAAAGAGCTGGTACAAAAACCTGCAATACTGACTCCGATTTTTCTTGCAAGTTTCCGTTTCTTTATGACCCTACACAGAAAATTCAAATTTTGACCAATTTTCTTCTATCGCTCGTATCTATGAAACAGATGATCATTAGCAAGCAGCTAAGATGCCATTATAAAGAGCATGAGTTACTCTTTCATACAAAAATAAAAGCGGCCAAATTGGTTGAAAAAATTGGAAGTTATGAATTTTTGAAAATCGTGCGCAAGAACTTTTGCACCAACCTAATATAAACAAGTCGTTTGCACATTTTTATAACCCATATAGGTAAGTTTCAAAAATTTCGTGACCCATTCTCGGGGAGGGGGGGGGCACGGTCCGCCACTGCTATGTGGCCATCTTCACAATGTTGTTTCATTCTTTGTAAAATTACGCTCAAATCCTGGAGGTTCTAGAGGAGCTCATTCCACTGGGAGGTGAATGGGCTCGTGGATAAAAAATCATCAAAAATCTTCTTCACTCTTATCATTGTAGCTTCATTTTATCATGATCGATTTCCTTCTTTTGCAATCTTCACTGACAAGCAGGGGGATTTTTACTTGCCAAATCTGTTTGATATAATAAAATTCTTTACAGATATTGACCTACGGATGTAATTTTCTCCCTGAGAGGTAAAGATGTTGATGAAGAATAAAGCATCTCTAAGCTTCTCTTAATTCTTGCCAATTTTCTACCTACTCAGTCACGCGGACACTCTAGCTGACATAAAAGGGCGTAGAGCAATAGAGGGTAAATTTGCCATGTTATGAATGTTTGCAAACGAATCTATATAGATTGCGTACACAATTTTGCTTCTGAAAAGTTAAGGGGAGTGATATTGAATACGAAGCTTTATCGACATTCTAGGAAAGGCTAACGTTTCTAATCGTTCTGGCTGGGGTCATTTCAGCTGGGTATGCATGTATGGGATATCTTCCATCTGAAACTTCAAAGGTACGATGCAATTTGTGCTTTTTGAAGGAAAAGTTAGAAAACGGTACTTTGTTGGAAAGATGTTCTTACGGTTTCTTTCCACAAAGAAAGATGCCTTTAAGGTTAAGGAAGACAAATGGGAATGAGGGGGAAGGAGCGTGAGGAGTTTAGGCGCTACGTAGAGAAACTTGCTAGCTTCTTTTGAGGACATAGTCTTCCAAAAACCGATCATAAATTCTTAATAGGCATTTATAAAATCGTGACGGCCACTCATACAAAAATGCATCACCTCAACGCTCACCTCAATCACTTCCAGTGTCTAAATACTATCATACAGTGGCGTACCCAGGAATTCGGCTCGGGAGGGGGGGGGGGGGGAGGGCGCGTAACAAAAATTTTTTTCTAGAAGATGCGTGACGGAAAAAATTTTGGGGTGCTTTCAAAAATTTTCGCGGGCCCATAACCCCGAAAAAAATTTTTATAAGGCTAATTTGAATTTTTAAAAATTTTTGAAATATTTTAATTATTTACAGGTATGAACGAGTCATTTGCACAATTTTATAGCTCATGTAAGCAACTTTCAAAAATTTCGCGACCCGTCCTCGGGGGGGGGGGGGGGGAGGGCGCCAAGAAAATGCGGTTACGAAAATGCGTGCGGTCGGACCATCGTCACGATTTTTCGAATGCCCTATAGTTTTCCTGAAATGAATTGAGGAAGCAGGGAAAACTTTTGAAATGATTTCATAAAAAATTATCGGGAAAGCCCAGCAGGAAAAAGAGAACGGAGGGTGAGGTCACTCAGGCTGAGTACGCACACATTTAATATTTCGACTGAAACTTCAGAGGGGAAAAATACGCAAAAGAGGAAGAGGAGCGCAGAAATTTGGCCCTTCAGTGGTTAGCTGTTCGAGAAGAAAGAAGAGGTATTTTCGCTGAAGGCCGTTAAGTGAAGGCGCGCATTATGGCAAAAGGGTTTTCTATTTTCTCTCAAGAAGTTGGCCTGTCAAAAACTCATACTATCACTTGAAGCTAGCTGCGCACCGCAGCTTTGCCGTTTTGGATACTATGAGTTAACGCCACCGTCTTCACAAGAGCATTATTGACGAAGTTGCATTTTACGTCTTTCCTTGCAAACAGCTTATGGCGCCGCGTCAAGCCCTCAATAGGGCTCAAAGGGCAAAGCGAAACAGTCAAAGTAGCAAGATGTTCTTATTAGAAGCATATTGCAGGAGCATTAAACATGTAGGACTTACTAAAAATTCACTTATTGGAAGTTGTTGCCACTATTGACAGATGTCTGCGAAGACTACCTTATTTTCAGGTGTATAAGCCGCGGGGGATTTTTTTGTGGAATTTGGTTAGTGCCACAATGACAGTAACTACATTAAAGTGAAAATGATTTATCAACGAACAAAGAGCCGGAGATATATGCGAAACAAGAGGATAGGATCGTGCTGGACGTGAGGATGGTGTACCGTTGGAATCAGGGCAACCGCCCCAGAGAAAAGAGTCCGCACGTCGTTGGTGATCACTGTAGAATCTCCTTCCCATGCCGTGCCATCCAAGCTCTCCGCATACCATACGTCTCCGCCCCTAAACGAGATGATTCAGCGTCGTCAGCATAATGGAGAGTAAGCTGAGCAGCGCAAAAGCGCCGCTCTTACATTGCGGCCTACGGCCATTCTTTACATGCAAGTGTTGTCGGCAACGCAAGAACGTATTGAAGGCAGCGTCCAGGCAAATCTGGGCCTATGGGGATCTCACTTGGAGAATCTTGTGGCCCTAAGCACTGCCCCAGCGGCAGCTCAAATTGTGAGCTCACAGTATTAGATATTCGATATTGAGATATTCGCCTCCAAACTGGACCCCGGGATCGTCGCATGGATTCATGGCGCGACACATCAGTTTCGCGCGAGACCCACGCGTGTCGCGCCATGAATCCATGCGAACAATCCCGGGGTCCAGTTTGGAGGCGAATACCTCAACTGTGAGTTCACCATTTGAGCTGCCGCTTGGGCAGTGTCTTAGTTAGGGGGGGGGGGCGCCCATTACTTGCGGGTGTCAATTAAGAAGTGCCGCGACGCGACTTTACAGTAACCTGGGCTAGAGGCAGCGGGGCCAGAGGAAATGTCCCAGAAAATGTTTATGGTCAAGTTATTATAGTGAACAAAAAGTTTGCATCAGAAATATAGTAATTTCCATTTCTCCCTTCACTATCTTCCTATTTCCTAATGATTTAGTGGCCAAACTTTCATCAAACACCAAAAATAGATGTCGTACTGTAAACACTTTTACAAAGAAGTAACAGTATGGTTTTGTGAGTCGACTACCCGAGTTTTCCGCGCACCTGATTATTGCCAGCCTGTCGCACGCGGCGACTACACGATTGACACTCACAAGTAATGGGATACACCCTAGCTAGGGCCCCAAAATCACTTTCCACATCAGAACTCCGTATGTCCAGATTTGCCTGGACGCTGCCTTGCGAGAGGAAGAAAGGATCTTCTATCTCAATCTATTCAGACAAAGATCATGATGCTTCATTAATAATGAAACGTAGTGCTTTAGTACTGCGCCAGATGCAGCAGAAAATATGGCATAATAGAATTTTTTTGATATAGTGTCCCTGCAATAACGCTTGCACGAGATTGTTGAACGGTTATGGTTGCTAATCCGATATACCAGCGTGGTTTTGCGGCCTATGGCCATTACACGCAAGTGTTGTCGGCAACGTAAGAATATTGTATTGACGAGAACACTAGACTATATAGTCTAGTAGAACCTGCACTGACGACACGATTTGCTCGAAAACAAATGTCATGTCAGTTATAGTAAGTTTCAACTAGGTTCAGGCGGGAACTGGGATGGTGGGAGTCGCCTCGCAAAGATTCGCGCCGCTTTGCAGTCTGCGTCTCTTCATTCTAATCTATCTCGCTGAGCCAGAGGCGGTGCGGACGCGCTGCTCCACTTAAAATTTTCGCCTACTCCGGGTCAAAAAAGACTGTAACAACTTGCTTGCGATTTGAGCGTCAAAAATGGCTACAGAGCGCATCATACTGCATTTGTTTATGCACAAATGCTGTCGGCAACGCAACATCACTACATTGACTGCCAGATCTACCAGGATTATAGGACTCAGCGCCAAGGCTTGTAAAGGCTACTGCATGACGAAGGCGCAATAGCAGTATTAATTGAGCGGGTGCGAACGCGGCGCGCGCGTATCCTTACCGTTGTAGATCCTGCGCCTCCTGCGTTCGCGCCCAAAGATACTGTGCCTTCATCATGCAGCAGCCTATAATTTCGCCGTCGTCAAGAAGTCAGATTCATTACCAAGTGGGTTTTTTCAATGATAACCATTTTCCCAGCATAGTTCGCCTATTTCACAATAGAAGACAGAAAAAAGAAGAATCGCCGCAATCTCGTTACGGATTCGGCAAACTAATTCAAAAACTCTCAATGTATTACAGGCTGCTGAGCATCCAGAACTTTCTACACCTATTTACTGCCAAGGTTTACATATTACTACGATGGAGTTTCTCAAGGGTTCAGAGGCGGAATCAGCGAGTGGCTGAGTTCTTGAATTTGAGGTCAAAGTGAGGCATGCTTCAAAAAGCGTGTACAGTCGAGTAGATTTTCTGCTTAATATAGTGTACTTACACTGAACGTGAAATGCGGTGAAATTTGCTCGTGAAGAAATAGATACGTCTTTGATGCCTTCCAACTGCGCGTGCAGAATGCCGGCATTACTGGCGTGGCTAATTCTCTGCGCGCCAAATTTACCGCATTTTACTTTCAGTGCAAGCACTTAAGCGGAAAATCTTCTCGACTGTACATCAACATGAGAGCCGTCTGCGAATCGCCGACAAGATATAATATATGAGAATTACGAAGATCTATGATCTATAGGGTCTCACTGATAAATCGACAAGGGCAATCGGAAGTTCTGGACTGTGGCGATGGGTCGATGAAACCAGTTGAAAGCGACAACGGTGGCCAGTCTCGCGTCCCGTTTTGTGACTCATCAGCGCAATTCTCTTCCTGTCATGCTTACATGATCAATAGTGAAAGTAAACAAACCGTTGCAACAAGCGTGATCTATTGCGGACTCCACTCATTTGTTCATTTTGTCCAATTCTCATTTCTATCTTTGTTTACGACTTAGTCATGTAGGCAAAGAGATCTTGATGCATTTTGTTGCAGTCCATTTGCTAGGCATTTCCTCTTGGGATCTCTGCTGCAACTTACTTTAGAATGTGTTGGTTAAATAAGGTTTCGCCCATGCACGTGGTATGGTAGAACGTTCGACCAGACGCAGACAAATGATGATCAAATGGTGTAGGTACCCGACGTTAACTGGATTACTATAATACCACTTAGGTCTGGTGTAGAACTAGAATAAACCTTGTTTCAACCAGTGAGAGAACAGCAGGGATCTGTACAAGGACTTGCGAACTTGTAGGGTCAAGGGAGTGCCGTAGATTTTTGACGTGAAGTCTTGTTCATATGTCAGCCGCCTTGATGCGTTTGGTAACGAAGTCGGGCTTAGAGGCTTGCGAAAATATAGATATTCTGCTGCTGTAGACGCCTCAGGTTAGCTCCAGAATTGCCAGTGCCAGCGCCGCTCCATTGCCGTTCGGGAACTGTGCGCTCGGTAGAGGTCGAACGATCAATCCGCGCTGTTTCTTCATAGTTCTCGGCACGGCGCTGGCACGATGCTGGTACGGCAAGGAGACGCTGCTGGAATACCGGTCGCAGCCTCATTTTTGAACAGTGCGTTCAGTACGAATATCATTTGAGGAGCTGGTTTTTTTATGTTATCAAAAGAGAAAGCTTTTGATATGCATGGTAGATCCATTTCTTTTCAGTCTTTTTTTTATCGTTGTCAACTATCGCCTTTCTAAGACGAGATCAAGACTGGGTCTAGCAGTTCTGTTTTGCAGTACGAGTTTTTTTTTCTTAAATTTAATGCGATATACTATTTCAGACAAATTTATTGATATGTGTAGTAGAGCCATTGCTTTCTTGTTTTGCAATATTGCCTTGGCAGAGTAATGATGCAACAATTTTTGTTATCATATCAGGTCTTGACTTTTTCTGGAACTTTCTATGCCTTTCCTGTGAGGTTTGCAAGCGTGTTTCCTGATACTGTTTCTCAGACGAATATTTTTACATATTTTTCCAGAAGATGGTTGTATACTTGTTAAGTACAACCTATAGTCATTCATTGTTGACGATTAGGAGGTGCTTTGAGCCTTATCTTATCAGAACGAGGTCCAAGTAGACTTTTCCACTCATCTCGCTTATTATCGATTTTGAATTAGAACACCTATCATCGTGATTTTTGCTGTTACGTAGACGTCTGGGTATTTATTGAGGTTGGTGATTAATAGTAAACCAGTCCTGGATGCAATATGATGTCATATCTCCGACCGCTCTTATGTTTTTGCTCCATTTCTCCTAATTGTCTTCCATACTGAGTAATTTTTTCCTTGATTTTTGGAATTATGAGCTGCAATTTTATCACTGAATTCATAAACACTTTCTCACTTTTTTCTTTGTCTGTCATCTTATTCAAGATAATCTCCTATTATTTTCAAAGCGTATAAATTTGATTTTTTCCCTGAACCCTATATGGTTTCCTAGCATCATAAACAGCAATTTTTCTCCACTAAACTTAGTTTAATGAAAATGATTTTGCTTTGGCGAATATATGGCTACTTGATGTGTTACACTTCCAATTTACACAGTTTAATGACGTCGTACTTGCTACCATTCTGAGCCAGTTCTGTTCGCGTTCTTTGTGGCTCTTTTGCTGACGTTGCGGTTGTGTAAAATTATGACACGAAATGGTTGATAATGTATCTGATCAACCATTTCTCGATGAATGCTCTGTTGTGGGTTTCAAATCGTTTGAATGACAGTGTAAATGATGCAATCAGAAAAAGTCATTTTGATTTTTTTTTTGCTCAATTTGCGGGCCAGTTATATTTACTTTCATACTAAGCAGATTAGTATTTGCACGATAAAGCATGGAATTGGAAGCAATTCCATATCAGTTTCGTAAGTGAGGTGTATTATAGAAATATTCCGCTAATATAATGGAGTAACATCATTTAAAATCTTGTAAATGTTTTTTACTTCGGAAGGGTCAAGAAAAATATTCTAATATAGTAAATGTAGTAAATGTAGCATCTCTTAGAATCATAGTCTGTTTACAATGTTTTTTCTAGTGAGCCGTAGTGGTTGAGGAGGATAAAAACAGTTGTAGAAACGAAAACGACTTATGAAACCTAACTCACCAAATAAGATCTCTTCACAGATTTCAGTTTCCTTTTTCCAGGAAGAACAGAAGCGAATACAACCCCGTTAAGAACTTTTTATCAATGTCTCAAACTAAACGAATTTCAGCACGAAAACAGGTTCATGGACTTTGCAAAAATGACAGATGAGCTAGATCTTTTCCTGAGCGAAAAAATTTCTTCAGAGGGTCATGCCCCCTCATTGTGGTAAATTTTTCGTGTTCATGTTACGCCATCTGGTTTTTGTCTTTTTGGATTTCATACTTCAAAAATTTATCAAGTTAGTTTATGAAGCTTCCTAATCATCACTCTTTAGAAATGATCTTACGTCATAATCTGCTTATAGTCTATGTCATCATTTTTTACAGCTTCTTTCACTGGCTGCTGGATCTGCAAACTCCTAATTCCTGTTTACTTCTTATTATAGTTGGGCGAATAAGATGAGAATATCAGTGAGAGCGGCATCGAATTTCGAGAAAGTAGTTCTAACAAAGATTAGTTCCTGTTCGCTTTAATGTGAAAGAGCACTGATCTGGATCAGATCAAGTGCAATGCCCATATGATAATGACGCTTTCTGTAACTGAACTACAAAACCACTTTCATTGTTATATTTGAAATTACAACTGAAAATTCTGAACCATTCATCAGCCTTAAAATGACAAAATAATTTGAAAAGGATGAAATTAGCTTATCACAGCTCAGGCGTCGTGCTTATTTTTTGAAATGCAAAAAATTCGATCGTCTCACTTTTCTTCATGGCTGATTTCAGAATTTTTGTGAGCTTCGCAAATCATGGTAAAAGGCAGGCATTTGCGGATTTCTGCACAACTTGTTTTGCTCTCCCTTCTGTCATAGCCCTTCTCTTAATTTTTTCTCAAGAATTATGGGTCTTTGAGCGCAATTCTGAGTACCTGAGCTTCTTAGTGGAAATTGAGAAGTTCTATCTAGGCTGTTGCACAAGCCAGCCTGATATGTTCCATTCGCGGTCGAAGAACCCAGCTTCAAACTTTTGCCTAACTTACCTTACTCTTTCCAACGGGCAATCGGCACTCTTGAATACGACGTGGACGAGAGTATAAAGCAGTGGCATTGGAAAATCGCAGTTGCGAGCTTTCAATCCCTTTCGGGCCTCCTTGATGCGCTGCGTCCACGGTTATGCTCGAAAAGTCAAAAAAGTGCTTTTCATGGCGTTTTCTGGCCTTAGTGATTGCTGGAGGGGTTGGGCGAGCGGTTCCCGCCAAACGAGTCGCGATTGGCTGCTTGAGTCGATTAGCCACTTGCCTCCAAAATAGGTGCAGTTACAGTGTTCTGCAGCCAGTCGCTGTTGTTGGCGGGAACCGCTCGCTCGCCCAGCCCTTCCAGCAATCTCCAAGGCCGAAAAACACCAAAGACACACTTTTTTGATTTTTCAAGTACACTCCCGGACTCAGCGACTCCAGAAGGCCATGTAGGTCTGGAAAGTTCGCAGTCGCAATTTTCCCAAGCCACTGCCTACAAAGGAATTTCTCTGCCGCTAATAATTTGAGTTGCCGTCAAGTCACTATATTAAAAATTTTAGTTGCTCATTTTTGTCTGGACACTGCCTATAATATCTGGCAAGTTCTATTTTTCTTTATAAAACTTTTCCAGATATGCCCTCACCATGCGCAGTGTGTGAGATGCCGTCCAGTGGATTGCACTTTGGCGTATCCTGTTGCAGAGCATGTGCAGCATTTTTTCGAAGAACTCTCTCACTAAGGCTGAAGTATAAATGCCGTTTCTCTGGCTCTTGTGAGGTCACACAAAGTTAGATTTTACGAGGTCCATATCGGCTTTACAAGATTAGAACTTTTTCTTTGCAGAAAAACGTTATTCTTGCCGGCATTGCCGCTTTGAGAAATGTGTGAGGGTAGGGATGCGGAAAGAAAGTAGGTTTGTCTACGTAAGTTGCTATCTTTGAGCCCTCTTATGAGTTCCAAATTCAGTGGTCCAGATGGCAAATGTGTCCAACGTCCCAGATCCATACGACGGTGCAAAGCCATCGTCATCGAATCCGGGATCAAACGCTGTGAGAATATTCACTTTTTTTGTCCAGACAGTTCAGTAAATAGTGCTTTTAGTCGTACTCGTCTTGCTCTCCACCGGAACCAGTATACCGTATACCAGCTATAGTAAGAAATGATAACTACCAGCACATACAGAATGGTTCCTATGTTAATACTTCGTCGACGTTTCACTTTACGAATGCGCAGATGATCTTGAAAGCGAAGATAGACGTTTTATTCGATATGGTGAGGATTTTCTTGGCAAGTATTATGCTATTACTTCATTGACTCAATTTATTGGTTGGAATGGGAAGCCTAGAATCAAGAATGTTTTTTTAAGAACGGAAAAGTATCTAAGGCGTAGATAGGCTGCAGTCGATTGTGTCCAGAGCTGCTGTTTCAGCGCCGTGCCAGATCTGTGCCGAAAAGTTGGTTATTAGTACGTGCATTCACGCGAATTCCGGCACGGAGCTGGCACGGCGCTGGAATGGCGCTGACACCTCGTCAGCATACGAGCCTAAACACGACCTGAAAGTGAAATAATTAGGCAGGTCATGAATTATTTTGTATTGTTTCTTGTTTCTTGTTCACAATGTTATAGCCATATCTGGATAAGCTTGTACAAAAGCGACCCCAAATAACCTTACATGAAGTAGGCTGATATAAAGAGTTTCAGGAATTCAACCTGAACGCTTTCCCTTACGCCATTCCGCTTTCGGTATGCCAACAAGCAATGATCGCCTACGCAAATCACTGCCAACACTGGCCTCAGTGTAGAATTGGAAAGGTGAGAATTTCTGGAACTTTTCTTTGACATTTCATTGACAACTCTGTTAAAAAATGAAAGAAAAATGAAAGGTCTATGCTGCTTTGGGACACATCGCCAGCGGTGTCTTTTGATTTTCCTTTTGACAGGGAATTTATCCATTCAAGTAGCCGCCCAGTCTGGAGTAGTAAGCGAATAAACCATCCTTTCTTATTGTATTACACCACTTAATGGGGCCGAACTCATTTTTTTCTCAAATTCCTTGCCAGCCATAATTTTGGCTACGGTACTTCATGAGGTTTGCCAGAAGGTGATAAATGTAAATTAACTGCGTGACTGTAACAATATGAGGTATACGGCTCCACCAAATCGTGAGTCTTGTCGGGTACACCTATACAGTTCAGCCAACTGGAACCTCTTTTACCTCGAAATACCTCGAAGTAGGTGCCAGATTTTGATATCTTAACGAGGATTTAGTTCTTTTGAACAGATTTCACATCAGCAGGCTCAGCAAGGTGTGGTTTGATTAGCTGTTAAGGCTGCTCTAGTAGCAGAGTCTAATTATTATTTTTTGCATTTTCTGTGCAAACATCCTAGCCAAAAATACCAACCGCGCAGTCTTTTGTGCCCTATTTTGACAGTTTGGTTGACATTGCGAACTTGCGCAGTTCACATCTACACTTAGTACAAAAATTGGGCTGATGGAATGTCCAAGGGAAGGATACTATCCTTGGTACTATACTTGGTAGGGAAGGATACGAAACTTGATCAAAGTGGCCCTTCCATATGAAATTTGAGTCATCCGGAAAGCCTAGAAAGCTGATTCTAAGAAATCTGCCCTCGATATGCGCACAGCTCCTCAGGCAGGAATTACGAGAATTTTATAAGGTAAAAAATACTAAGGTTTTGCTAAGGTAAAAACAGATGTTGTGGTCTTTCCGGCGCTTGAAAGAGTAATGAAAACTTATAAGCATAAGTTTACTAGACTGAAAATTGTTGCATAAAGTGCCTTTGCAGTCAATTTTGCCCCATTTGACAAAGGAGGTCCGATTAGTCGAAGTGGCCTTTTTAAATGAGTCTTATACCACTTTGAAGAGCATTAAATGATTCCTAATCTGATTTCATTATCTGCCAATCGCCTCTGCTTGCCGAGTTATGAATGTTTGCTGTTGCCAAAGTGCTGTGATAATCAGCTTTGGACCAGCACGTGAGCAATTTTAACGAATTTTGTTTACATTCAATTTTCCAACCCAAAAAGAACGCTCACTCGGCGTCCAAAGGCGCTTGGCAGATAACGAGGACAGATTTGGAACCGAATGATTTTACCGTAGCCGCACTTTCGAATTTTTTCTTCAAAAAAAATTCTCATAACTTCTCTTCCAAAAGCGGTTTGCAGATAACGAGAAAGAATAAAGATCAACTTTTGAGGTCTTTCAAAACAGTATATATCTTATGCGTAAAGACCACTTCGACCATCTATGCTTTCCTTCTTATTAAATGTGTCCTTTATATAACTCCTTTCAAACTCTCGATCAACTCAAAGAATTCCCTTCCATTCTACGAGGATTGCATCCCGACTTTTTTGTGCTATTTAACACTTTTTGAAAACAGTAACCTTGATTCAACTGGCTTGGCGGCTGGAAGGCGGGGCTTTGTGACTTAGTTAAGGCCGCTCGCGCCCGCGATGCAGTCTGCGTCTCTCTCGCGCGTGTGCTCTCATCATTATCTAGCCTTAATTAGGTCACGAAGCCCTGCCTTCCAAGCCAGTTGAATCAAAGTGTACAAGGAAGCCGCTAAACAATCAAATCCTTTTTAAGACCCACGAAGCCGATGTTATCGATATTGAGCACTTACTTCGTGATACCTACATCGAAATAGAGTACCTCGCTGAATTTGCCATGTCCCTGCAACCGTTCAGTCAGCTTCCAAAGGACCAAAAGGTAGGTTTCGAATAGAATAATTGCATATTAGGGGAAATCACCTCCTTTTTCTTGCAGTGGCTGTTATTTCGGAATTTTTGGCCAGGTTTCTTCGAGTTAGACCGATGTTTTCACACTTGCAAAATTCTCGGCTACGATATAAATGACGAACGTTCGGTGTGCTTAGATGGGACCATTGTTAATTTCAAAGGACATGTAGCTAGACTGGATATTGTGTCTGACCTAAATGAAGAACAGATAAAGAAGTGAGTCTTAGCATAAAAATAGTCGTCATTTCTGTTCATCATTTTTTTTCATTTTCAAGGTTAATGAGACCAACACATGACTTATTTCGTGATCTCGTGACTGTTCCTTTTAAACGATTGCGACCGAACGAGTTTGAGCTGCTCTATATGGTGATCTGCTGTATGTGGAATGTAAAACGTAAGTGATAATGTTTGGATTCAACAAGTACGTGGATTCTTAGCTCTATTGCTTCATGAAATGCCATATGAACAAAAGACCGCCATCAATCCCCACCACCCCCTTCCCCGGCAACGGTCAAGAAGCCCGGTTTCTTCGAGGCCCCTCTCTACAAAACTCCAGTTCAGCGCTAGATATGCTTTCAGTCAGGAACTATCAGACAAATGCTTTGGCTTACTAGCTGTTCAAAGTAACGGTTGCTAAATAGGCTCCTTTTGCTTAAAAAAATTGACGGAATCTACGAATTTAGTGTTAACTGCAATTTCATTGGTTTTTGACCTTCTACATTTTTGATACAGATTTATTTTGAGGTTATAATTATGAGTATGTTCCTAAATAGCAAAATATGTTCCTATCTGATATGTCTTCCTGAAAACTTGAATTGTTTTTAGAGCGCAACGCTGAATATGTTGCTATGCGATGTCATCTGGCAACAAAAATTCCTCCTCGTGACATACCCCCCCCCTTTCTTCGTCTCGCTATCTCAGCAACTATCACTTCTATTCTTGCTGAGGGGTATTCTCTATCATCTTACAGGTGCAATTTTGACGAACTGTTGGTTTGAATAGCCATAAAAACCACCGTTCTTATCTGCTGCTAATAACCAAAGCTGATAAAAAAAAATGAATTTCTCTCAACTGCCATCTAATCTATCAAGTGATGGTTACATTCATGTACAAGAATCATCTCATTTATCAGGGCACAGGACTGTCAAAGCATCTTAGATCTCTACTGAGATCCATGTACATGAGGCCTGTTTCTATACCAAACCGTTTTTTTCGCTCACAGGAACAAAATTTTTAAATTTATCGCGTAACATAAGCTTCCTACTAATCCGCCCATGGTAGGTCATACATTAGGGCATATAGCCAGTAACTTTTTGGTAAAGAATTTATCTATTGTTTATACATCATAAGAGCTTTGCTTTTTTGTGTCAGAGCATTTGAGTCATACGAAATTCAGGAAGATTAGAGCATTGCTGCATCAAATTTTTGTTTTACCTATGCAATCGTATGCATTGTGAAATTTATTCTAAATTTAGAGTTGTTTCTGTTTTGGATAGTATACACTTGTTAAGAAATCATTTGACCTCAAAGTGACACTAAATAACATCACTATGTTATTGTTTGTATTTGTTAAGTGGGACCTCGCTACAGTATCCTAGCCCGCTTGTAAATTCAGATTCAGATTATTAAAAGGTCTGTTTTGCTGTAAATGAACACAATGCATCGTTTGCCGAAGCTGTTGAGTCAGTTTCGAGATGACTCAATGTAGATTCCGTTCTAGAAATTGACAGCAGCAGCATTGAGCATCAACATGCATATAATTTAGGGGACCAAAGGAACTTTTGAAAAGTTTAGTTAATTTTTTTCGAGGACCGACTTGGATCCCATTTTTTGGAGATGCTGAAAATCAAGTACCTACTCACTATCATCTATTCCAGATATTCCGAACGTGACCAAAGAAACCATCAATATAGCCGAACAAGTAAAAAACCGCTTGGCCGAAGATGTGCATAGCTACTACACTTATGAACTTCGAACGCCCAATTATGCTTCACGTCTTCATAAAATGAGCAGCATTGTGTCGGCAGTGGATGTGAGTTAGATTGGGTCATTTCTTGAAATTTTGTACTGTGAAGGTGTTTTCAGAAGCTACAAGAGCGACGGAAGGAAGATAGCCAATTATCAAGATTATTCAACATTTTTAAGCACGATATATTCATGAGTGAATTAGTTTGAGAAAGCAAATGAGATTTCTAATTTCTACGTGTACAGAGCGATAAAGAGTCTATCAAACAACTGTGTGTGCAGAAGCATCATGGGTGGACACATGTTAATGCTAATTGAACAAGCAAATCGAATAATTGATAGAGGCATTTATCGGTTGAGCGGTGAGACTGGCAGCAGGCGGGTCTCATGAGCAATTACTCGGATCGTGAGTGATGAAAGTCGAGCCGAGATCGCCGCTCGGAACCAATCACGATCACGGCTCAACCACGCCCCATCTAGGTTCTGGATAGCTTCTTGCTTTTGTTGTGTGTTTAAGTCAGCGATCAGGCAAACACAGCTTACACTATCTTTGTAGTTAGTCCTTCAGCTATGCTTTGGCTGAATTCGGCTGGCTGAAGGCATCAGACTATGCGATTCGGTCAGTCTTGTGCTTTATAGCTTGTTTGCCTGAAGGATGAAATCACGAAATTCTTAAACATGGTTTTTGATACTGCCGATTCCAGTATGCGCTTTTTCATAATCTTATTACGGAAGCAAGAAAAACGTTGAAGTTGCGGCAACTTACTATAGTAGCGGCAACTTACTGGAGTAGTGGCAACATTACAGAAGTAGCTGCAACTATTGGCGCCAACTTCAAAATTCTCACAGTAAAGTATTCTGTTTCCAAATCCTGCTCGAGCAAGCAAACAACGCTTCTATCTTCAATTTCTACATTTCTTTTTCATTCCTCCCTCCAGGAATGTCCGTCCCAAACATCTTGTCCAAATCTGCCTGATCAGAACCGATTTCGATCGACCACAATCACTTAATGATTATGATTTTATCACTTCTTTTCTTTCCACACAGCTGAACATGAATGACAAGCGTGGTTTTCGAGTTGATGAGCTCTTGTCAGATGACAAGAACATCACCGCACAACAACAGGGAGGTGTGTTCGAAGCGGATTTGAATATGTGAGAGAGAATTTCAATTTTTGCTGATTCAGGAAGATCAAATACCCAAGCAGGAAATGCAAACAAGGCACGAAGGGCTCGTACAGCTTTTACTTATGAACAACTGGTTGCTTTAGAAAATAAATTTAAGGTAGGCATTCAAAAAATTTAGTTTGATATTTTGGAATCCCTTTTACTCTATTCAGACTTCGCGTTATCTCAGCGTTTGTGAGCGATTGAATCTTGCCATTCAGCTCCATCTCACTGAAACACAGGTATTTGACTCTAATTGTCCCCTTCAAATCGTGCAAAATTCAAATTATCTGGTTTTAGGTGAAGATTTGGTTCCAAAATCGTCGTACAAAATGGAAGAAGCATAATCCTGGTATGGACGCCATTTCCTCACCCTCACCGACGGCAACTCAACCAGCTTCATCTACCGTAACCGAAAAGATTCTTACTCCTCCGTCCATTCAACTCTCACAATTTAGTATGGTAAGTGAAAAGAGTGCAAACTATCACTTATGTCATTGTCATTGTCACTCACTGCACTTCCAGATCCCAGTCGGTGCACCGCTTCTGTCACTTCCTTCTATCCCTCAAACTGGTGCATCAATGTTCCCGTTTAGTTTTTACGATATCAATAGCTCTCCTATATTTGTGTCTCAGCGATTGCCATTTCTTACTTAGAACCTTAGCACGTTTAAGTACCTACTTGTACTTCTAAATATTTTGGATATGATTTATTTCGGAGGCAACTGAATCTAATTTGCTTGCAATTTCTTTTACATAGTTTTGCCGTAATCATAAGCTTGTGCCCTTGAATTCTTCTATCTCCAGCTTTATCAATTTTATTTTGAATATGTATTTATCTTGCGGGTATATAGTTTAATTTGTTCTATGAGCTTTGCGTCTTATGAAATCTTCAAATTTTTTTCTGAATTTTTCTCGGTGCAAACAATAACCGTTCTTCAAATTCTTCTCGTTTGAGTGCAACGTATAATCGAAGCTATGATTTTTATAGTGATTGAAAGCAGTGCGGAACATCAAAAACGTATAAATTCGTCTGTTATTGTCATTTTATCGCTCGGAATGTTGCGGAAGGCACTGAGAATTACGGCTAATGCTGCGATCGAATAACGAAGTTGAGTAGTCCACATATGCTTTTGAGTATCGCATGGATCTGAGACTACTGTATTCTGGTCAAGAAAATAAAACAAAAAACTTTCTATCTATATATTATTACTACAAAGAAACCTTACTTGTTAAAAGGTATTTTCCAAATTTTATATTCATCCGTCTCTCTCTTTCAGAAAAATCATGGCCTGATTCTATTTTACCTTGCTAATTTACTAATACAAGCTAAATAGTCAAAAGTCTGTGATAGGTCTACGAATATGTAAGAAAATGGTGAAATGCACTTTCTGGTAGGATTTTATACTTATTTTCGTCACATATTGGAACACACATCAAGCTTCAGTTCGTAACGAAACTCCTCAGAAGTTTTCTATTGAGAAATGCAGAAATTTCATGAGAGCCAAAAATCCTTTGGATGCTTCTTGTCTGAAGAATCAACCAAAGCTAGTCTCTAAGTTGATTAGTACTTTTCAGTTGGCTAAACTTAGAAACGGAGTAGAGAGAGGAGTGACACGTTGAAAAGGGTATCCTCAAAATCTTGTAGATAATTCCTTGGAAGCTTGGATTTTTTGAAGGAAAAGCCTTACCACAAGAAGATGGGACTTTCTATATACTGCGCTCTTGAAGAGCTCCTTCCAAACATTTAAATGTGTCTGGCCGAATTTTGTTTTCTATACACTGTTTTGATTTTATCTCGGCTTTTGCCTTCACTGTACTGGAAACGATCTTCTTTCTCAGCTTTCATGTGTTGAGATCCATACATCGTGAAATTTTTATACATAATTACAAAGAACTCTTCAAGAGCTTTCGAACTTTTACAGCAAGCTCTATGTTGCCGATGTTCTAAGGGAATTGAATACGAAAGCTAAAGATGCAGACTCCTCACGGTCATCATTTTAAGCTGACTTATCTACATGATTTTAGCAGTTAATAACTTAACACGGTTGCTCTGAAGTATCAGTTACAACATCTGTTCACTGTTTTGATCTCATACGCATATGCTAACAATCGCGATGATGATTGCTCTGAGAATGTGGGAACGGTAGCGCCTTAAACTATGACAACATAACGTCTTTATGAGTTTTCGGCCACTCAGCTGCTTCTCTGGCAGCATGTTAGCAAACTGCACAAAAAACACACTGTTCATTGTGTAATATTGCGCCACATTCGTCGTTTTCTCCCCATTTTGCGTTCTTCTCCAGGCCCCAGAGATACCGTATCCACACATTATGTGGCTGAAGTACATGTGTTCCCTGTGATGATTTGCACATCATTGCTGAATGGATGTTTGGTAGTGATATTCGCGTTCGGGTGCAATTTTATGAGTGCCAACAGTTGTTGGCCCCTCTCTCTGACAACGGTGTTTGTATATTCTACCGCCGACAACGGAGCTGTTCCTCATTTGTCTCCATTTGTCAGCACTGAAAACGATCCGGCGCTACTTTGTCTGGAGAGAACATTCGATGATTGTAGGGGCTACCCCATTATTTGAAGGGTCTGATACGAAAGTGTACGATAATCTCTCGCCAGAAATCCCATTGAGCCGCCTACATCTTAGTAGAATACTGGGAACGTTTATGTTGGAAAATCTAGTAAAGTGGGTAGTTATATTAGGGTGTAAAGAAAAATGTATAAATAGAGGTTGAGCTGAATTGTTTTTTTTATAACTTCATCATGAGTGGCGGCTAATTAACGCTATTTTGGTCATGTGTACTGACAGCCTTAGACTACTGGTTATGTATATCATGGATGCTCGATGCTCTTCTCCAAGAATGGCACTGACTGCGTTTCGAAAATAGGTGCACAGCACTATTTTTTAAACCTTAAAATCAGTGAGCTTTCTTGCCTGGATAATGACTTAAATACCAGAGCAATTTCTAGTCGGATATCGCTTCATCTTACCAGTACAAGGGTACAAAATATATCGAGCTTGTGCAAGTTCTGCCCCTCTACAACCTCAAAAATGTGCCTTTTCGCGGACCTAAGCGCAGAGAAGTTTTCTCCTTTTTTTGGGTGTTTCTTCAAGCTAAATAACTTATTTGGTATATTGGTCCATCGCACATTACTCATCCCAAACCAGTCCCTTGCATTCGCATTCATTTTTGGTAATTATGAAAAGAATTGACAGCATTCTTTACAACTTAATACATTTAAGAAATTTTTCGAAAGTACAAGCTTTAGTGCATGTCCCAGCATCTCTGTACGTTAAATAATTAACACATGACAAGACCATTTACGATTTCTGCCATTTCGGACCAGAGTGTATTTGCAACGTCAAACTTAGGGCCCACCCGTGATGGTAAGGTTACGGCAATCATCCGGTTCGAAATCATCTATGACTCTTGCGAATAATTGTATAATGTCATCTCCATGTGCGGATCACAGATCCATTTTGTTCATTAGAATCCTACTGTGGGGCCCGTAGTAGTAGGGACGAAACTATGGTGTTTATATTTAGCAAGCTAAATCTCTACAAATATCGAATCTCAAGAAATTCAGTACTTGCATATCGGCGTAATGGCAGATGCAGGCTTTGAAGGCAGTGTCTCACCAAAATTTGAATGTTGGGATTTTTGCATATCACAAGCGTTTGCGACCCTTCCATCATAAAATGCTCAGAAACGCTGTTTTTGAAGCCCCGAGAAAACGCGGACAAGTTGTGCCTTCTTACCCTAGCCTCCTGGAAATGGAAGGTAGATGGAAGGACCTATTAAGGGGGCTCGAGAGAAAACCGAAGAAATATGCCGTGTAGACCAAATGATTGCGGACCATTCTGAGCATATTCTTCTCAGCGTAGAGAGGGTCAAAGTGAGTCACATTTGTTGCAATGGCCTATTTAGTGGCCCCTATAGTAGGGTATGTGGAGACCCGCGCAACCTCAGTTTGGTGCAGTGCCTTTAATGTAAGTAGGTGTGTCGCTACCGTAATTAAAACAATGGAATTTTGAGTTATCTGCGAAACAGTGAGGGTAGCGAGTGATGTATCAATTTCAGTCTTTGTTCTTGCACCCACTAAACCTATCCCTTTGGGGAAGGTAAACTGTTACCAAAAGGATCTTGGAGGATCAGAGAATTACTTTGTAATCGGCTGACTTGCTGTCACGATTGGCTCGTGCCCAATAGCCTCTTCGGTTAAAAAGAAATTTGATGCATAACCTTTGCATTAAATTTTTCGAAAATCTCGAAGTTTCTCAAACTTCAATGAAATCGTTTGTTTCGATGTATATAGTAGAGATCCTTGCGCTTTCTAGGACTCCGAACTAAAAGCTCTTGTTGACGTACGGTACAAGCAGATGAAGAGAAGCTGAAGTGTAGGTTCGAATTTCAAGCGCTCTAAAGCACCTATTAGAACTTGATTTTACTCTCAGTCTTGGTTTTATGTCGTACTCTTTCACCTAGGGGCTTGCTGATTGGACGCTTCTACGATTAGATTAGGATTTTTGAGTTTTATTCGAGTTTTTATTTTTGACCAAATGAAAACTTTTGAAATGTATAGCCAAATACAACATACAAAAAAGATCTTAGAATTTTTAAAATTTTTCAAGCACTTCCAAAATAAGTTTTGTATGGTTTGCAAATCTCTTGTATCAACCTATTCGGATGCGTTCCACGTTTACATAAAATTGTTCCAAAGTTACCAGATACTATCCTTTCTACTCTTTTGACAGCGTGTAAGAATGAATCAAGTTTTAGTACGCCAGTATAACGGCATAGATCCTTACCAGGAATTAGTGATGTATTCAAATAAATCATAAAAATTCATCAGTTTCTATAAGAATTTCTGCACTTAAAAATCAGTATTGACGTTACACCTGCTTCCATTACATCGTTTCCTGAGGTTGTAAGTGGTGATGGACAAATGAGCGCCTCAATTACATAGCGGTGGCGCTCACACATCAAAGAGAAGTACATTTGTCAACCGCGACGTGTGCGCCTGTTCACGACGAACAAGTGATCATCGTGAAAATTTTGCTGATACCACTCCAGTGCTAAAGGGAGACGGTATGAACATTTACTAGAATTCAAACCAACATATGCATGTCGAGAACAAAAAATCTATCTGCCAAAATTCAGAGCGAAAAAAAGTTCAGCAAAAAATCATGCAAAAACTCGCGCACAGTTTGCCAAAAATTCTGCGAGCGGAGTGCAGAAAGTCGGCCCTTTCGGTGTCAGCATTGATCCGATTATTTCTGAGAGTGGACAGTTTACAACTTTACGAAAAGATAGTCGACATCGAAAACCCAATTTTAATCAATGAAAAAAGCAAAGGATAATGGATTTTGCGTCTTTTACCCTCTCAGGTCATGCGCCAAACATACTTCGCAAAGATTAGTCCCGGATCATGGCGGGTGGTTGAATCGTCGCGAAGCGGGCGCGAACGTGATGGTCGAGCGCCTATCACAGCTGGAGCGCATCACAGAACAGTCGAGTCATTTCATATGATCATTTGTCATTGCACAAATTATTCACGTTTTGCGTTATTCTTTTCTTAAAGCAGACTTCCTTTCAAGCGCTTTCGGTGTTTTCTTGTGTTTTCTATTTTTTAGATATCGACTCAAAGAGATGCAGGAGATAGCAATAGTGAGTCGCTTGGTTTTTTTTGCGATTGTGAATTCAGCATGGGGACGCCAAAGATGGATGTGTGCAATGACACACATGATCATATGAAATGACTCGACTGTAGAGACTCCTAATCGCCAGCGCTCCATACTCCTATGCGTTTACCTCAGGCACTCGATTATTTACCTCAGTCACGAATTTACTGTCTCCAGGGTAAAGGACTCTCAGTAGTCCGGGAACGAACTCGGAATTTGTACCGCCAGACATAGCGGCGCTTCATACCACTAGGGCACTTGTCCCACTTCCGTATGGTAAAGTCAAAACATTTTCGGGCACGAGGTACTTGTACAATTACCTTTAATTTGCAATAAATCATTGTCTCAAACGTTTGCCTACCCAATTCTACGTGAAATGAGCGCGTAAAGTGTAGAACGAAAATGGTGTTTTTGCTTTGCCACATGGACTTTTACAGCAAAAAAAAGAAATGCGTTTTTCGCTTTTATGACTCAAGAAAAACATCTTACATTGGCTAACTAAAAGATCCAAAAGATCCCACGCCAAATCTCACCAAGCCTTGACTAGGATTTTTAAGCGCTACAGATGAGAAGCAACTTTGAGTTTAGAAAGGACGTTGATAGATGCCGCTACAGGAAAAGGTTCTGTGACATCAAGAATCAACGGTCTTTGCATGTTCTCTAATCTACAGACACTCAAGCGAATTAATTTATCGTGGGAATTAATGGACATTAGACAAAAGAACTACCCGATTTATAGTGACGAAATGAGTTCAGTAAAGTCACTATCACGCGTTTCTCCTTATTGGAGTATGGCGAAAAAAAGTACACAACTATGATTCGTTATCGGCCTAAGAAGGCTTTGGCTCGTCGGATTGAAGCGGTCAACATTGCCCTAAGAAAAGGTACCGTATTAGATTGAGTGAAGAATAAGTTCGTTTTGGCGTGCAAACCTGATTTTTGACGCTAAAGTAGTTTGAAGCTTTTAATTTCACATACCACCTACTTAAAGCCTTTTATTATCAGTAAATGAATGTTAAGCCCTAAGTATCTAGATTTGCAAATTAGATCTATGACTTCCTAAGTTTCGTCATGCAGTGATGGATACAAAGACGAGTAATTTGGTTTTTACCTAGTGAATAGCAAAAGAGGGCAGTTATGAATTCCGGTTATCAAAAAACGATATTTTCTTATGCTTTTATCTTTTGCGCCCTTTCTCAACTGGACAATAAATCTACTCAGATAGAATTCACATTTCAGTTCGTGAACAAACTTATCTCTTAGCCAACCTTGTACACAGGAAATCTTGAATTTAAACAACAATCTCTCAGCCAGGATCGCACATTCTACAGCGCCACGCTAACAATAAGTAGCTCCAAGTCACTTTGTTCAAAAAATTTCTTTTTTGTTTTCTCTTAATTTCAGTATTAATGTGTAGGCATCTTTTTCATCGATTTGTTTGCACTGATTTGTTTTTAGCAGCTATCTGCGCAGAACGTGCAAACTCACAATGAGTTATGTACCTACAAATGATCAACTGTATGAGATAAGCTTTGGGGCATATGAACTGGAATCTAGATATTATAGATGATCTGAATTCTGAAGCATCTAATAGTTCGGTTATCTTTGTCCTGCAAATGCGGATTATAATCTTGTCACACAGGCAAAAAATTTCCAAAAGTATTAGGATTTTCTCGGGATGCTCTCCCAACTACCACAGTAAGGAAAAAGTGTACTTCGCTTTCTGCGATGGAAAGAAACAGGCAGCGATTGAAAACCGCATCCTCAATGGACGTTGGTGTGTAGTAGTAAATGGAGTCATCTTGGAAAAAAACGAGTATTTTCTCGAAATCTATCAGTGCAAATATTAGCTTGAAAAGAAAAGAATGTCGTTTTTTATAGCAGATCAACAGAATGAATCGCAAAAATATGGTAAGGGTATCATTCGATAGAGAAAAGTAAGCTCTACAAGAAGACATCTGTATATTGGCTTAAACCGCGGTTTACCTAAAGCTCAAAGCCAAAAAGAGCAGCTCAAAGTGCCAAAAATCGAATTTTCGCTCCAAAAAAATCGCACAAACCTGCTTGCTCCAACATGTAGCAGACACATGCATTTATTCATTGATGCACTTGGCATATTTTTTTTCATGATTGGAATTCAGGAAAAAATTGAAAACGAAAAATGGCAAATACAGGGTGTCCCAAAAAAATGTTAACACTGTTTGATCGTTAATAACTCCCTTGCTTTCAAGTTTTTCGCCGAGCTTCAGGTACCATGTTGTAGAGCGAGGATAAACTTAGATTAACAGTATCGAGCGAATCATCTAACGCTCCTCGTTACTGTAGAATTACGGTAGGAAACAAGGATTTTAGGCCATTAAAGCCCATTTTCTGCTTCGAAACAGAGCCAAACAAGCCAAAATCTCTTGTACTATGGTAATGAGAGCCGCTAATTTCGGATATGAAATTTTCACTTCATTATGATACTTCTTTTCAAAGTTATCCCCTAGGTAAAGTGTAATTACTGACTTCACAGCATGTGTCAAAAATGTGATTACACCGTCAAAAAAGCTGAAAACACTCGTGAAAAGTTGTGTAGTGGAATCAGTGTGCGCGAAAACCCTAGTACACGATTTTTCAGATTTTTTGAAAAAAATTTTGTCAGAGAGCATATTTCGCTACGGTTCCACATGCTGGGATATCCTACCGTACTACAGTAACGAGGAGCGTTAGGCCCCGAACAGACTTCAAGCGATTTGATCGTCGCGACTCAATCGCCGACATTTCCATTCATTTTCATTTCACATTCAAAAATTTCGGGCTAGGAACTTATCATAACCGAAATGCAAGTTGATCGGCATGGAATGATGTTGTAACAGTTGTCTCGTCGCGATTCAGTCGCGACGATCGAATCGCGTGAAGTCTGTCCGGGGCCTTAGATGATTCGCTCGATACTGTAAATCTAAGTTTATCCTCGCTCTACGAAATGGTACCTAAAGCTCGGCGAAAGACTTGAAAGCAAGGGAGTTAATAACTATCAAACAGTGTTAACATTTTTTGGGACACCCTGTACCCATGTAGTCGTGTACTACAAGCATTCGAGACTTTGATCATGAAATTTGAGCCGTCGATATGCTCTAATTTCTGAGAAATACCAATTTTAGCTGAGAAAACTTTAAAAAAAGCGACATTCTTTTCTTTCCAACCTTATAGTTACAATTGTGCTACAAACTAGGTGTCCCTATGCACAAACAAAGTGTGTCCCGCTTAACTATGTCTAGAGAAGCAGATCCACTTCAAGCAGTCAGGATATTTTCGTGACGAGATGAAGAAAATCTGTTGACTAAAGCCTGAACAAACAACGTCGTATCAAACATTTATTTCGAGAGAAACTTTATGTACATGGCTCCATTATGCTTCGCATACGAGAATAGTAAACATCAAAGAAAAAGAAAATGCAAAACACAGTAGCACGCATTGCAACTCTGAGGTGAAGATTGAGCAACGAGTTTTCCAAGTTGTGGGCCTTCATAAAGGGGTGACATCGAATCTACATGCGAGTCACTTCGGCAGGTTTTTTCGGCTTTCCTGAAGTCGTTGCCATTGAATGATGTAAATTCTTTCCATTAACGTCTGTTCTCCACTCAGTTGTCTAAAATGTAGTGACCAATCAAAGTTTTGCGCTCATCAGTCAGTTGTCTTTGTTAGAGTTTCAAACTTGGGGTAAACATTAGTTCCGAACGAAGGCAGATTCCTAGCAAGCGCACGTTGCTATCTGCCGATTGCACCCTACGAGTTTGTTGCCCGACCGCCGCATTCGCACAAGCTTCGCGACTAAAAACAATACGCCTTCGTCCCGGACTGGCTTTAGGCGCATGTGGAGTGTCCAGTGGTTTTATTTAACATGTTATAACTTTGTCATCTCAACGCTTTTTAAACTATCTTAATGACGTATGTAAGCTTATCTGAGTTCAAGCTAGATTTAGTACAGATCTTTTTGTCATAGTAGTACAGTAGAAACTTATAGGTGCATAAGTTATCTATTCATTTATTTATTTATTGTTATTTTTAAAGCTGTCTTCGAGAATTGAAAGTTTTTTTTAGATTCTGAAACCATTGAAATAAATCCACAAAAAAAAATTCCGAAAAAAAAACCCCAAGTGTGACCGATGTGGGTGAGAACCCCAATCGAAAAGTTTGTGAGTTACTCAGATATTCTGCACTAGCGTTAAGATAATTCAAGAAGTTAATGTTAGAAGGTCGAAAGTTCTAATCGTAGTCTACAGTAATGGAAAGTAATTCGCTCAAATTGAAATCAGTTTCTCATCCACTTATGAGATCCTAGTATATGACAAGGTCAGAACACTATTAGCTTACAAGTGTTGTTAACAGCCTCTAAAACTCGGCACAATAAAAGAAGTGACGACTTTATCATTCATTAGCATTTTAAGATCAAGAAAACAATTGTCCTAATTTTTTGAGGGATTAAAAGTTACTACAGGAGTGCAGACGAAAATGCTACTTACTTCCTTGTGACTACCATCGCATTCGCAGTGTGGGCAGTGATCGTAGAAGATAGATCTGCTTGTACTCGTTCTCACCAGAGAGGTGCTTGGGGATTCTGCATTTTAATCAGACAATATGTGAACTTTAGCATAGCATTTTTACCTGATTTGATTCTTCCATAGCCATCATCACTGTCTAATTCGATGATACATCTGTGAATCGCTCCATTAGGGGAACGACCGCGTCTGGATGGGGTGGGTGATGAAGGCTTGCTCTAAAAATTTTTGAGATCTTGAGACTTAGGCACGGGTCTAGAATTCTGAGGTTGACCGAGTGAAAGCCGTGCAATTTACCTGGAAGAGGTCCAAAACATTAGGCCTATGTTTAGTTTTCTTAGGTGGTCCTGCTAGATAGTTCCCATCATTGATACAGCAGGATGGCGTATAATTTAGCAAGTCCCTATCACAAGAAATCGTACCTGAAATACACACTCTGACCCTTAGGATTCACGTGAAAGAAATGAAGACAGTTTCCAGGTAAAATTGAGTGAATGTGTTTCTCTTTGGTAAATATTCGGTTATCCTTTGAAATTTCTTGGCAATTTTTGAACACTCGAAATACATGAAGGCGTACATCGCCGAAATGTCGACGTCAGCCAATAAAGTTTTAAGTGGGTTTCTTTTATGGATAATGAATATGAGGCCTTATGTAAGGTGCTACCCAAGTAGCAGGTTATATGACTCAATCAGAGCTAAGAAATTCGACTCTGAATCCTCGCCCAGACCGTATTTAGGAAGGTTACGTCCGCGCTAAAAATGTACAACTAGGCCAAAATTTGGAACTGCAGTTCTCTGCCACGAATAACTAAATGGGCTGCCGCTTTGACAGTTACTCCAGTAGAATTTCGAAATTAATTTATGTATAAAAACCTAGGCATTTACAACTACCTGACTACAAAAGAAGTCTGAATCTCACCAGCGATGCTGATTTTATCGTAGAGACGGGCTCCGGCAGCTCGACTCAGTGTCTCCTTGACAGGATCAACTGGCTTCTCGATTACAAGTTTGGTCGGTCGATAGGCAAATTCACCCCAAATGGCTAGAATTGCGCTGTCATTTGCAGGACACATTAGAAGAACAAATTAGAAAAAATAATATGAATAGAACATAAGATAAAAGTCTGTTCATGAAAAAAAAACGGAACCGATGGAAGAAAAATAAGTACCGACCACAATCATCAATTTGCATCTCTATAGCTCTCTTCCAGTTTTGTGTTATTCTATAGTCCTCTGTACTAATGTAATAACGATAATCATCAGATTTCATGGATTTTAGCGACGATAAAAGTATCGTATTCGGATTCGACGTGTTCGAAATCTGTGAGGCCTGAAATTTGATCACTATAAAAAAATAAAGGAGCTCGAATGACTACTGACCGAAGTGATTGGAATCAGTAATAATGTAGTTTCCTCTGTGGACTGACGATCCTGACTACTAAAGCAGTGTAAGTTACCAGCCTGGAAAAGGAACATATCTGAGTGGCAGGAAGATGCTCTTATAGGAAAAGTAGACATGGTAGAAAATAAAAATTCAGCTAACAGAAGGTTATCAAAAGTCCTGCACAGAACATGAAAATTTCCTCTCAAAATTTTCCAAAAATATTCCTCAAATTACGTTATAGACGTAACATTTGATAAACTTCGTATAAACCATAATAAGCTTTACTTGTAATTATTTCAATCAAAATCCAACAGCTGGAAAAGCATTCAAAAATTATAACTATCGTAGAGATATCCGATTTTTTTCACATGTGAAAAAAGCAGGTCAACCATTTGATTTTAGCAGAAGTTTCGGCAACTTCAGCAATCAAAAATCAAGAAAAATTTTTTTGAATGCTTGAAATTTGTTTTGCCGTAATGTGCCTAGAAAGACTTTCAAAAGCACATCTAAAAATCGCAAGATTTTCCTCTCCAATATTTGCCACATCAAATTTCGTTAAAGTTGGGAAAAAATTTAAAAATTTCAAAAATCGCGTTCCATAAACCCTATGAGTACTCAGGATGTTCTATTGTATAATTTCCGTTTCATATTCCTTCTAAATGCATCGTATGGGAACGTCAACGATGTGTATGTTTTCCCGGTATCAAACTAGAATAAATGGACTTTCTTTTATGAGAATAAACTTGAAAGTGTTAAGAAATTTTCAAAATAAGATTTTTTTGAAAGCTTGTTCATGTGGCCAAGACAATCTTCGATGTTCAGCAAAACAGAGTATCAAAGTGGTTCGAGGTGTCATAAAATCAAAGGATTAAATTTCAGTCCACTTTTTTCGTGAGTGAAAAAAGAATAAGAACGAAATCGAGAGAAATATTTTTACCTGTAATCTCGTCCGTACATTTTTCAACATACGTTCCTCGCAAAGTTGTCTAATGCTCAGTGTGCCTTCAGCTAAGGGACGGAGTACGGAAAGAGGTTGAACGACAAGGCGGCACAAAATGTGGCCATACAGTGGTGGACCGCACAGATCGGCTAAAAAACAATATGTTTAGTTTTTCCATGGCAAGAAACGATAATAATGTAAAGCACCAACCAAAAGGAGAGATTTGTAGGTCATGGATTTTGCCCTCTTCACCGGCATCGTTGAGCACTAAGCAAGCTCTAGCCAAGATGTTGAAATGAGTTCCAGCCATACAGAACGAATTACCTCGGATACTGTTTTGAAAGTCCAACGAATTGAGATTAGCCTTCTATAAATTAAATATCATTGTGCGAACAGAAACAATAGGTACCGTACCACTTGCCCGCCAAACTTCCGTCCAAGGGAGCGGGTGATACGTGACCGCAGACTTCCGCCGCCATTTGATAAACCGAGGTCTATTCTAGCACCGTATATAGTAATTTCAACACAAAAATCGTCCGGTTCGGCTTCACTATAAACAAATCAAGATTTCCTAGAGTTACAGCTAAAATGCTAAAATTCTTACAAAATAAAAGTCTCCGGAAACATAACGTCAGTCATGGTTCTGTCTACATTCGTGACCATATGTGAGTCCAAAACACGCATTTTCGTTTGGAGCACTACAAACATTGAGTAGATGCGAGTCTCTGGAATTCGTAAAATTAAAATTCCAAATGAAATTTACTCTAGAATGTACCTCCTTTGCTTTTAAAATGCTGGTCACTATTCCATGCCAGAGGGATATTAATCTGTGAGACTCCAATATTTGCACGGCTTCGGCGTGAATCACTGTAATGAGCAAAAAATGTTGTTGATTTGTTTGTGTGGCTATCCAAGGGAGGTTCATTCTAAAAGATATTGCTCAAGTATGTCTTGTTATAGCTGTTATCCTATAATTTGACTGCAGCGCGACAGATAGCCGAAAATAGAAAAAAAAATACAAATCCATGAAGAAAAACCTATTGCTCTTTGCAGTCAATTGAGAAGCTTAGATACTTTCCTGAAGAAACCCGAACACGAAGTTTTTTTCATGAAATTGAATTTTTTTCATGGAACTAGTGAACCAGTAATCTAAAGGCGCTATTTGGAAGAGCGTTCGCTTCGGGATCCGCCGCGGTTTCCCGTTATTTGAAGATTTTTGAATCAAGCTATCGTCACATCTCACAAGAAGCCTGTTAAAACCATTAAATTGAGCTAATCCTTCTCTCCAATTAACCGTTTTCAAAAAATCTTCACATGCAGATTTCGACTGTCCTTAAATGCTTCCACCTGTTGTTGGCAAATGGCTCCAATTCCTTTTATTTCCAAATGTTTGCGTTTGTAGCTTCTAAGCAAAACCGTATACTTTATTTAGGTTCCTACATGTACAGCTCCTGAGCAAAATCGCATTCTACTTTATTTAGGTTTCTCGCAACCTCTCCAGAGAAACTCGAAAATGCCTAGATGCACATAAGCCTCAGAAAACCTGATTGCTTGGGGTAAGCTTGCTCTAAAATTTATTAGAATGGAAATCGAGCTTCAGATATTTTGCGCTTCTGTTTTTCATCGTTTCGGTGACCGTACTAGCATTGAGTCTATGCTCATTCATTCTGAGGGAATAGCTTTTGATTTCCTTGGACCAACTAAAATAAAAAAGATTTTGGGTGCAAGGCACAGACAAAAAGGAGAATAAAGACAGTAGTACACGCATTTTGGCTGTTTAGATCTATTTATTATATGGAACTGAGGAAAATCAAAAAACTTTTTGGGACCCAGTGGAAACCGAAGACAATAGCTCAGAATTGTCAGAGTAATTTTATGAATGTGCGTGTAGATACTGAGAAAAAAAGAAAAATCACTTATTCACTTATCTCAAGTGGTGAATTATCTTGCATTGCTTGCTATTGTTTGATGTCAGAGGACGTGTTGACGCTTACTGATGCCAGTTCTAACATTCCTTACAAATTTCCTTTGATATATATGATTTATGATTTACTGTTCCCCAGGATAACCTTGTATAACAAAAATACTAGTCGCATTTCTCCACATCAGGACATCCATTTTAGCTACTGGGTTTGTTTGCAAATATATTTTAGTGGAGTTTTTTACAAGCGAAACTGAGTGGGATAGCAAAAGTGCACTTTTTCTTTGGTTTAGGGCGTATAGAAATTTCATGTAATTGAAGTCTTCGGAATTATGCATTAGGAAACGGCAAAAAGTTAGGCTTTTTCTATGGAAGAAGAATTGAAAGACTAGAATGGCTCAGAAAAGGATGAAAAGATCTTTTTTAACCTGTGGCGAATAGAGATGATAGAATGGAAAATCATGAAAAAAAAACAGACTTACAAAGCATCATTCTCGTTAATGACTGGCATAAGGTTTTGTCGAATTTTTCGCACAACTCCTTCTTTATCGATATTCAGAGTATGGAGCTCCCTACAGGTACGTAGCGACTGCAAAAAAGGAAATTTCATTGATAGGAAAATAATAAAACTTAATGAGCCAAGCTGCAATTCTTTTGCTGCCGTTGTTGTTGTTTTTATCCATGGAGCAAGATTGAGACGAAGATGAGATAGCGAAAGCGAGGAAAGACAGCTTTGTGTTTTGTTCATCTTCGTGGTAAATATTGGGATAATTTATTGGAGAGCTATCCGTTTGGCTAGACAAGAGCTTGGAACAAACAAGATTTATTAAACTGCAAAATGAAACACGCCCAGAAGAACAAATGAGAGAATGTTTCACTTGGTATGATCAACCAATCGTAGTAATTACGATGTCATTTCGCGAAATTGCTGTCAAAAGTACTTCCTCACTTGTTCTGTGTTCAAAAAAAAACAATCAAAATTCTATGGACATTAATACGCATGTGGCGTCCTGGTTCATATCCGGGTTGAACGGGCGCAACGTTGGTCACCCCCTGGAAAATATTTTGGATTTTGAATGTTAGAATTTCCAAAATTCCTGTGCTCCTGTAACTCCATAATTCTGAAAAAAAGTCGTGACGTTGGGGATTTCAAAATTTTTGTCGCTTTTCATCAAACTTGAAGAAGGGATCGCGACGACAGCCATCTCCGCAGAAATTTTTCTGCATACACAACACAAATCAAAATTTGAGATCGATTCTGATTTACAGGTTAAAACAAACACAACGTTGCAATGATGTTCTTTCAAAATATCTCGACCCTATTTCGTGAAATATATTAAGTTGAATCGAAAGTTCTGTCGCACCATTTGCAAAAGATCGTAGCTTCTTCCTCTCACGGAAGTCTTGCATGACAAACATGAAGCTAGGAAGAGTAACTCATGTACTTTCTAATATCACCTTGCCTGCTCACTTTTTCTCTCTGGCCGCAGAGATGAAAATGGGAAAGGAAATCTTTTCAGGTTTAAAATTTTTGATGCAAGTCCATTAAAAATTCCAAAACTGCGCCATAAAATTCAAAACAGCCAGTATTCTAAACTATTTGAACCCCCTACCTAGCTGACCAAAACTCGCGCTGATCGACCTGTTCTTTGAAAAGTTATAATTTTCGAGAAAAAATGGCAAAACAATTTTTTCCAGAAACCGATTCTTTAGCATTTTTTCACAAAAATCATAACGTTCAAAAGAAAAGCTCAATCAGCGCGAAATTTGCTCAGCTAAAATTGGGATCAAAAAACCTTGGTTACTCGCCCTTTTGGATTTTATTGCACAGTTTTGGAATTTTTAACGGGCTTGCCTCAAAATTCCAAAATTGAACTGATTTCCTCTTCACAATTTTATCTATGCAATCAGAGCATGGGAGAGAGAAAGCAAGATGTAAACCGAACATACATGAGTTACTCTTCCAAGCCTTATTTTTGTAATGGTAAACTATAGTGACAAGAAGAAGTGACAATTTTTGAAAATGGTGCTATAGAATTTTTTCGGTTCAACCTAATTTTATAGTTGCTTCGACAAAATCTCAGCGCGCCCTGATCTTTTATAATACATTCTATTTTTTTGTCAAAATTTCATAATTGCTCTTATCAATTTATTTTATTGCGACTTTTACAAGTACATAAAATTTTTCCAACTTTTCGGTTATGAAATCTCGAAATGAGTCATAGAATGTTTATCATATCTTTCATACAAGTCCCGGCGTTTGCAGGCAGACCATTATCATAGGGCAACAACCGCGCTGGCGCCAAGCTTCCGTTGTCTTTTCTTCTTCTCTTTTTTTACCGGAATTGTTCACATACTGCACAGTTCGAGAGGCTGCCAATACTTTGGAATGTAGGCAGAAAAATGGCAGAAGAATTTAGTCAAGACGGTAAATATATGCCTGGTGCTTTACATAATCTAAAAAAGAGAATACAATAAATCTCTGCACGAAAGGATCACTCATTGAGCACTGAGAAATTTATTTTGAGATCCTGAAATTCCAAACGTTTCCAAAATGCGCAGCGGTTTAGTCCATTTTCCTACAGCAATTTCTGAACGAAAATTTTGCAAGTTAATCTGCAGAATCCCCAAAATCTGGGAAATTTCTCACAGTCAGTAACTGAAGACAACATGCACTTTTCCGTCCTCGAGAAAAACTGCATGCAATGTTCTTTTTTGTCATTATTTCAAAACATAAAAGATGTCCTTGGGCAATAATATGCTTGAAACCATATGGTCGACAAGGTTTTTCAGAAAAGCAAGAGTGGTAGTGCCCAGCTGCTACAACTAAAACAAAAACTTCAACTGATCTTTACAATCTTCTTTATAAAACTAGTTCGGGGCATGTTAGCCATAGAAACTAAGATAGTTTAAAGTTTTACAGCTTTTTTGAATTTTAGAGCAGCTTTTTTTGTGTTTGCAGAAGTTATTCTTTTCTTTTTTGGGGTACAAATGATTTGAAACTAAAGCTAAACAGCCTTGAGAACGCAGTTCTGACGGCACATGAAGTCGCTCATGGGTTCACTCAAATGCAAGGTTCGTATTCCGAAAAAAAAAATAAAATCTAACTTCAGTACTAATAAAATTTGGAAGAAATCTTCATCAGACATGATCTGATAGATTTTTAGGTCACATACTGAATCTGATTACCTAGTAAACATAGCAAAAACCAGGTGTCTATTGACAACACTATCTTGTTTGCGCTATCAGGGCGGATGAGTTTACATATACTTTATCTTTAGAGGATGCTATGAATACAGAAATATTTCTGTCGCAGAAAAAATCAGACATTTCTGAAAAAATCACAATTCAAAGAATCTACACAACGTAAGCTTCAGAGCATATTCAGCTACCAACCCATAAAACGTTAAGAATCAAATTTGTGGTAACTTGCAAATTGCAAGTGCATACATATGAAATACGAACAGTCAAAAAATATAAATGATGTTATATATGATATATTCTAGAATGATAACACAGTACAAACATGTTAGAAGTAGTTCATTCTTTACTCATCACACACAAAAGATCATCCGACAAAGATCCGCACTATATGAGATGAGCTTTGCAATTTTCTTGAATTTTTTTATTCAAATTTTCCGTTTTTCCTTCCTTTTCGTCCTTTTCTTTTTTGCTTACTAAGAAGTCTGGAGAGGATTAGAAAAAAAACTCCTTGCAAGGGATTGTGCGAGACGAAAATTTATATTTTTTATACATTTTTTGTACATATATTTTGTGTTGCTTGATTAGGAATTTTCGACGATCACGTGATTGGGATTAATACTATATTATTAACTAGCTGGCAAACCCGGCTCTGCCCGGCCCTGTCATTATTATATTCGTAATCAGCATGCTCACTTACCCCCCTGTGCCAACTCCCAGCCCCGTAGCTCAAACTTTGCAAAAAATCGATAAAATCGATATCGATCGATGACGAAAAGTAGCCTATGACACACGCCCGGTCCCGAAGTGTATGTGTGCCAAGTTTGGTCCGGATCGGTTCAGAAATAAAAATTTCTATTCGGAACATACGTACATACAGATAGACAGACATACATACAGACATACCAACAGACATTCAGGTTTATATATAAGATGTCATGAGTACTTGGAGAGCAAAAAGTGACGAAGCTACAGAAGATGTTCGAAGTTCATTCAAACATGACATGGCTCAAGCACGATGTTTTCCGAGAAATTGCGAGAAACGCAATTTTCAAAACACTGATGTCTACATACGAGCTTTCAGAACGGAATGACGAAGCTAAGGCTCTAACTTTTTCTTTCATATGGTGCAAAAATAGGCAAAACAGAACTTTATAGCACGGCAAGACAGGGTAGACTAAAAAAGAAATTGGGCAAGAATTCGCCGAGAAAGGCTAAACACCTATTCATGTAAAAGTCAACTTACCAACTGACATCTTTCGCATGTCATAGTTGAAAAGTTCTATGATAAGGCTTGTTGAGATGTCATCACGTCGAATAATTAAAATCTTAAAAAAACAATTATGCAATATTGCAATCCGCTGTCGCAGGGAAAATTGATATCCGATAAGGTGGTGTGACGGAACGAAAGAGCTTTCGCTATAGAGAACTGGTAAATCCACCTAGGATAGAAAGATGCTTGTAGTATACGAAATGTCAAACATACTTTTACTGTTCGAAGAAAAGAGGGAAAGAGAAGAGTTTGAAGAGGCGCGACGAGTGTGAGAGCGAGAGCGATTAGATTGTTTGACAAGCCTTGCTCCGCTCTCATCCCTCACTATCAAACATCGAGGCGTCCACACACAGCAAGCCTGCACACACGGTCACACTTACATAATAGGGTTAAGCTTTTATCAGTAGACAAGTTTGTTTATGAAAAATTTACATTCTGTCAGCTCTGCCGCCAATCAGGCGCACTGCCGCCTGAACTTTTGGCCGAAGAGCGCCTTGCGGCAGATTTTTCCGTTGCGACGTATTTAGCGCGACAAAAGCGCAGCGAATGGCATGATTTTGCTCAAGGTGAGTTTTTTTACTTCCTTGAAAGGCTGAAAAACTACAAGATAGATGGCATTAGGGATAGAAGATGATAAATTGTGAATTTCTTATTTTTTTGCAATTTTTTTCCAGCAGCGAAAAAGAGCAGAAGCGTACGTAAATTGGTCTTTACTCTCATTACCTGAGCTCTACTCAATTATTCATATAATTGTTGAAAATAAGCAAATCACTCAATACTCGGAATATGACGTTAGGTATCTAAAGGCTTTCAATAATTTTCTATGCCCTCCAAAATTACTGGATTTTCTAAAATATGCAAAAATCTCAACCATACGACTTACGAACTATTGGCACCCGCACAAAGTTTGCAAATCTTGGAGAAAAAGTCTAATCCTTCAAAATTGTATATACAGTCCAGTACAGCTTACAGCATTACCTACTTGATTCTGCCCAAACTGCGCTAAGTCGTGAATAAATACTCGAATCAAACAAGTTGAGAAGTTCGGGTGCTTAGTCATCGGATAGATTGCGAAAGAGCGAATTCAACAGATGGGAATCCGTTACAAGCTTAATGCGCACGGCTAAGCACGCTGTTTTACACAGAGACCAGATCATGAAAGTTATTTATTAATTTAATAATAAACCATTAATCACCTAATTTGTAGGCTTGTTGAATTCGTAATAAAGAATCACGTAATTGTTTTGCAAGTAATGCAAATAAACTTTCTGATGTGCTTGACTGTCATGCTCGAGTCATGTTGTCCACCTGCCCACCAACAAACTGTCGAAATAGCCATCGATCACTCTCACAACTATTAATGTATTTCTTTACTGCAATTATTCCACATCTCATATTTCACAATTGAGAATCAGCAATGTCTAGCTGTATTGTTTCCGTTATTTACTTTATTGCTTAGACAAAAAGGTTTGAAAGGCCCGTTTTTGTATACATTCTAGTATATGTAACCTAATAGGCATTCTGTATGTGCGTAGATTCTATGGAATTTTGGAAACGACAAAACAAGTTCAGCGTTTTCCATCTGATTGTATGATCACTTTCTAATGAACGTGATCACTCAAGACTGAATCTTATCTTATAAATAAAGAAGTCGTAAGCGCAATTCAAAAATGTGCAAAATAGCGGGAAACCGCGTAATCAATCTAGCACCTTTAATTACTGCTCCAATAGTGGAGATAAAATAGTAATCGAAATGCGTGGGATGAGATATATGTATGTCGACTAAGGCGCTGATCACGCACTTTCTCATCTTTGAAGCGATTTTCTCTTACGGTTGCGTAACTTTCTTGTCTGTACTAACTTTCTTTTATGACCGATGTAGACCTCCAGTTTTTTGATAGTTTCTTTAAATGAAAGCAAGAATCGATCCTCTTTCTTCCTATCGCCGAATTTTACTCAAGTCAGGAAAAGGACAACGCTCATAAAGCTGTTTTTGCCAAAAGCTTAACTACAGTACATGCGCAAGACTCAAACTGGTATCGAGTATTCGCCAGGCATTCGTACTGGTATGACTGCTAAATGGTCAGAGTTTTTTGTGAGTATAAGTGGCCGTGGAATTCGACTGTGCCTCGCCCAGGGCACAGTCCCTACCATGATCGACGATGCTCATTGGTCCGCTCGAAAGCGTAGGTCTTGGAGAGAGTTAGTGATAAATTTGCAGATCACAAATAGGAACGATGATTTGCTACTTTGGCAGTATCATAGTTGAGGCCTTTCAGATCCTCTAAACTGCGTCCACTTGTACTGAACTGAGTCTGCTCTGGCATTGCCTCCAATGATCTCACACTACCCCTTTCAGCAGGAACTTCAATTTCTGCTAAACGAGATGGAGGCTGTTCAAATCCAAATATACAAGGACAGCAATATTTATCGAATTGTTCTCCTTGATTTCTCCACCTTCGTCGTCGGTCAGAGATTTGAGCTGGTCGTGACGGACATCAGAAGACCCAATCCATTTTCTGTGATGTTATCGTGCCGCAATAGCTGTGCCATTCCTTGTTCGTCGACATCTTCGAAAGAACTCGGCTATTCTGTAAGTAGGATTTGCATATATCATAAAAGAAACGTTGATGTCAAATTATCCCCACAGTACACGCCTCATATGAGCAGAATAGATTTTGACCGTATAGCCGTAACTATGCATACCTAGCAAAAAGCATCAGTCCAAAGCCATTTGTCAGAACGGTAGCGAGTGCTGGATAGATATTCAGTTCGTAGAGATTTGCATAGATTGCGAGAATCATGGTATACCATAAAAGGATAAATTGAATTGCCTTTGTAGCATAGATCCGCTTTTCGATCTGGTTTAACTCACTGAAATTCATGTTTGCTAGGATATATGCGGAATATAGTGAAGCAAAAAAAGAGAGTTTTCTGGTTTCACAGAGAGAGAGAAAGTGGGAATAGAAGACAATGTCAATTCAAAATGTGCAACATTACTTGAGCCAAATGATTTCACTTTTGAGTTGTTATTTTTTCGAAAATTGTCAACTCGATTATTCAGGTAATATCTGACCAGAAAGTACTAAATGTAGGCCATTTTGTGCATTCATTATAGATTGATAAACGTGTTTACTCTCACAAATTTTGAAGCAAGCCCACTTGCAGAATTGCCTCTGCCAAAGCTGTTCCAAGTCGTGCCGGAGGCGTGCCAGCGTAATTGAATCAGTCAATAGCGGTGCTCCACTGACCTCCTGTATAGGCTAGCACGACTCCAGCACGACGCCCGCCATGGGCAACTTTGAATAATCAAAAACAGTAAATAACACTTACCAGAAATGTACATAAATTGGAGAGTAGCCCAAATCTGTTGTTAGTAATCCTCGATCAGTGAAATTATTTTCACAACAACATAAAAATCCTATCATATATATTGTTAAGTAGAGTAAAAGACCAATAAGGAGGCTGAAACATCATACATTTGCTGTGGTTCAAATTCAGTTCATATTTAGTTGGCAAATAGATTCTATTATATTTTTCCTTCTCATTTCGAAAAGTTTCGAAGGTGGATAAAATTCTTAAATTTGCTTTATACCTAAGGGTTGACGCATTCTACCCACCAGTATAATCAGTGTTTTCTTAATTCACAAATAAGAACTTTATCTACGGTTTTTTATTCTGGTGTCTCAAAAAATATTTTGGCACTATATCTACGACGGAAGTCTAATGCCTTTAGCTTTTCAGGATTCAGCTCCTCAAAAAATGTAGGGAAGAAGTCTAGCAAAATTTCAAAAACTTTTTTGTGCATCGATAGAAAGTGGTATGAGAAGCTCAGAAAATTAGTGAAATTTTGAAGAGATTTTTATGGTCAAATGGAAAATGCTGATAAAATGTAAAGGTTTCACAAAAACTAATCCACCCTAATATCTATTTATATCATACCTGGATACTACAAGAATGATTGTGGGCACTGTCAATGAAAGACTTTCTTGTAAATCTGCATAATTGGTGATTTGCGACCATATATGGGATGCAAAGGTACCCAATGTCATGATCTGGAAAAGCACTGAATACCAAACTGGCATAGTGAAGCGACCCGTCGAGAGCGAACGAACATCCAGATCTATAAGGTTTGAAAATTTAGAAAAAAAAATGAAAATTTGAGTTGAAACCCAACCTGCTCTGTGCTGACTTTGGAAACTTGCTGACGAGTAGTGCTTTGCGTAGAAAATTCTTAAACTAAGGGGTTTCTCTCTGTGCATAATGAGGGCATTTGACTCGATTTTTTTCATAGCTTCAACCACGCGTGGAATGGGAACCTTGAAAAAAAAGTAATTGTATAATTCAAGTCAATCTCAATGAACTTCTTATTTTGCGCATGAAAATTATTCCTGACTTGTTTGAGGCAACTCCCAAAAAATTTATAAGAAAACATTTCTTTTTGTTTGGTGCGAAGAGATTGCACCATATAAAAACATGAATGGAAAGGCGTTTTCTCCAATACCGATCCTAAACTAGGAGTATAGGTATGATCCGCCATTAGGCGCTGATTTTGCGGACCGCTGATCCTCACACGGTATGCAACAGCATGTGCGAAAGGAAGATTTTGTCTAAACTGCGCATAAGCGAAATTCTTTCCTCTACCTTTAAACTACGGAGTTCACAGTAGGCGAATAGAAGTTGGAGTGCATCAACTCGGACATCTGACACACAACCCGCATCTCTACATTTTGCAGTCTTGTGTCAAATGACAACACCCCGAACTCTTTTGTAAACGCCATTGCACTTAATTTATGTGTCTCTCACCTGTACCCTTTCCGGGATTGATGTGTCGTTTATATTGATGAAACACTCGTCAGTCAATACACCTTCACGAATGAGATTTAGAAGTGAACGTTTCTGATGTTTATCCATGGCATCTACGTAATCCATCAGTTTACTTTCAGGAACTTGCTGAAAAAAATATTTGTTTTAATTATACTAATTTTTCCCAGAAAGTGCTGCGGTAAAAGAAAGAAAAGAAACTAAAATGCCGATGCTGAGAACAAAATCAGGTTTGACAGAATTCTATGTACAAATTCAACTTCTACAAAGAATGGACAAAGATTCTCGCAATTAAAGCTGTACAACTAAATTTGGATAACGGTCAAAAAGTGCAGAAATTTACTTACATCTCCATGAAAATTCTGGTATCTCCCATCGTCGTTTGAAGGATCAAATACATCGCCATGCTCAGGAACTAGAGGAACATAAATCAACCAACAATCCTGAGAGCCAACTGCTACGATTATGTGCAATTTTGGAAAAAAAAGGCACGGCGAATTAATAAGAACCTCAGTTTCGAGCTGTAATTGTACTTTGGAGCATAAAGAGAGTAGCTGGTCGAAAAATGGAATGTATAACGGTCGGAACCATGCCAGTTCGGATCGATGCTAGTCGGGGAATCATAATTGAGTAGCATTTTAGAACCTTGAATCTTGAAGAAAAGGTAGTGAATAACAGGCCAGAAGATTCTAATTCTCCCACCCCAATGAGAGAAAATGGATGTTTAATAAAGACTACATAGCCGGAGTGAGGAGAAAAATTCCAAAAATCCTCTTCTAAGGTCTTCAATGCAATCAAAAGATAATAACTACTTGCGCTGTTTTCGCCAGAATATTTGCAAATTTAAAATTGAATCACTATCGTTTTTTTCACTGTAAGATATAGAAAAGAATTGCTGAAAGCTACACGTTTCTTGGCAGTGATAGAATAAATTGAAATAATCCTAAGATTCATACCTGTATGCACCCATTTCTTCCATGTAATTCCAAGTTCATCTAGGAGTTCACGAATTGTCATGGGAACAACAACATGATCCACGGAAAAGTACCTGTTTTTCAAAATAAAGAAGAGAACAATAAATTCAAAATATTCTTACTGTGTGTTCATATGAAATACAGAATTTTCAGTAAGCAGACCGTCTCTGACAGGAGCCAGCAGTTTGCAGAGTTGGGGTTTGCTTAGATTCCTTACGTAATTGATGAGAATTTCTCTAGATGAGAGCTGTCCTTTTGAAGTGGATGCCGAGGCATTGATGGAAGACTCCGAGATAATGTTCATTTCTAGAAAAGGTTTAAATTTCATAAAGTGGCTATTTTGCAGTGCTTTACCGAGGATAGACATTGATAAGATAATCTGCAGGTGCTAGTCTCGCAAACATATTTTACATAAGCAAAAACGAATGTTCTATATCTATGAAATGCCGCGGTGAGCTTTTGCTGTGAGAATTTGAGGCTCGAACTAGTAAATCAAAATGAAAAGTATTTTATTTTGTGTAAATAAGCAAAGAAGACCCTTTGCTAGAATCAGTGAGAAAGCAGTAAAGCCTCGAAGACGTTATCAGGTCGTAAACTCATAGTGAAAGGTTGGACAGCTCGAACGCTCTAGCGACCAATAAGGACCGTTAAAGTGAGTTTTATATATAAAATAGATACCTTTTATCTGCTCAGAATTGTGTCGATTATGCTTCTGAGTTAGTTGTCAAGAACATTAGAACCGATTATCAACTATTGCTGTAAATAGTAGAAAGGGAAATGACTTCTCATGTGAGTACAGTACAATGACTTCATCCCTAAAATGTTTGCGTAGACCCAGACATTTCTAGAAACTAATGGCAAGGTTTTTAAACTAATTTTAGTTGTGTTGCAATTAAGCAGTTTGTATGCTGTTTATAAAAATTTCGAATTTTTGTTTTTTTGGGAATTTTTTTTTCAAATCCGCCACTCCTCTTTAGTTCTAACCAAAAATCTGCTAGCGCAAAGCTCCGTAATCAAGTACTCGCCGTAATCTCTGTTGTTTTTATCATGCTAATATATTTAATTTCAACGACTCAGTGCGACAGGATCTTTCTTTTTCTTTTACAAGTATTTTTTAGCTTTTGCTAGCTGCTACGAGCTTATTTTTTTTGATTTTGACCGACGTAATTTTTGTTATATTGGAATGAAAATCCTGCTCCACGGGTTTCGATGATCAGCAGATTTTTGAGCTCATTCTATTTCAATACTGAAGTTGGTGAACGTATCAATCGCAATTTGGAATTTGTGGACTACTTTCATTTTGTTCTTGCTCGATTCAGAAGTTAGTATTGTAGAAGAGATAGAGAAAGCAGACTTGCTTAAAAAACCACCAGGAATACGACAAAGTTAAAATTCTTTGAGTTTGCTTGTACAAGGCTTAAGACTGTAGAGCAAATTGATGGCAAATTTGAGCTCATTCTTTGTTAAAATGAAAAGCTTTCATTTTGCCGTTCAATCAAGTCTCGCCGGATTGGACCGCTCGAAATTTTATTTTTTTCTGTGACTTTGACTGGTGAATTAATGCCGCAAGATGAGCCAATATCATACAAGTTTTGTTGAAGATCAGTATTGCAAACAGGTGTAAATTCTATATTTTTTGTTTGGGAGAAGCTTGCGGAAATTATTTAAAAACCTCCGCTAAAAATCAAAAAAAACATAAAGATTGAGTAGTAAAAATCAAGTATAAGGTCGTTCCGAAAGTAATGTCGCTTTTTTCAAACGTATGCCACATCTCGTGGAACAAAGATGTGTAAGAGATTCTGGTAGCATTTGATGCAGCATTTCATTCTCTTTCTAGTGGTTAAATAGTTACCGCATAAAATTGAATAACCTCTGAAAAACTTATCAGAATCTGCAACCCATGCTTTTTGAGAAGGTAAAGTTTCACAATTTTTCTAAAATTTTATAACAAACCACAGAAGGAGTCCAAGTAATGGATGGATAGAGCAAACCCTACAGGAAACAGCTCAACTTTTTTCTACTTTTCGAAGCTTGTCATAATTTTTGTACGGATTTTTTGATGGAACCACCGAATTTTAGTAGGCTTGTCTCAGACACAACTGCATCAAACGCCAACAAGTCTTCGGATTTTGAAACTTACAAAGATGGATTATGGTTTGGCAACAATTTTTCAAACCAAACGAGCATTCACCGCTTCGGTTTAGCAACTTTCGAAAATTTCAGGTACCTTGGGGTCCCTTGGAAACGTTGAGTTATGAGATTTTATCCCGGAAAACTTGATGAATCGGAAACAAAAAACAACCGCTAGAAAGTTGTTGTTCTGTGAGGTTTGACTTGACTAAATATAGAATTTGATGGCATTGAGAAATTGATTGTAGAAATTTTGAGAAGCAAGCTAAGGAAAAGAAAAACATTACTCTGTGTTCTATAGTATTTGCTCTATCTACCTGCCACTTGTACTTTTTCGGAGATTAGGTACAAAAACTTAGAAAAATAGCCGAACTTGACCACGGCAAAAAAACACGAGCCGCAGATTTTGCTAATTTTTCGAGAGCTCATTGAACATTATGCAGTGAACTTAGAACCGTTAAAAAGAGAATAAAATGCTGCATCGAATGCTCCTAAGATCTTTTGAAAATTTTGATTCCGCGAATAGTGGCCTTCATTCGAAAAAAGCGACATTACTTTTGGAACGACCTAATAGAAATTGAAACGCGATCAAAATTAGAAGATTTATAATTTGTTATGCATTGGTAGATAATGACTTATCCATCATTCACATACAAGAATATTATTTTGTGTTGAAAAATTATCAACACATCTTTAGAATTAATATTGATAAATACCATAGAAGTATAGAAAATATTAGGTTGGTGCAAAAGTTTTGTCAGTATTTTCAATCCACCGGCAAATACGCTAGAATGAAGATAAACAAACACTTCAAAATGCATCTAATGCAGAATTTCTTTCTCTTTCCAGCTGCTAAACCCCATTGTGTTTCGTTGCGGGAGTGACGAGATATTTGCTGTAAATGACAACCATTCGTTTTCACCACGTCCAGTTTTCACTAATTTCCAAAATTTTTGTATGAGACTTTCAGAGGAGCCCTAATAACCAGCAGATAGGGCAAACCTTTCCAACAGAAGCAATGTTTTGCAGCCCTACGGCTTGTTTCTCAGAATTTCTACGATTTATTTTTTGAAGTGACCAAATTTTACATTCAGCCTATTTTAACCTCGTAGAACATAAAATGTTAAACACTTCAGTCACCATTCGATGCAACTTCTTCTCCTCCTTCTAACACTTGTCTTTTTTTACCAAGATTTTGTCTTTTTTTACCAAGGCGATATTTGTGGGAAAAATCGCAGTATTTCTCAAGTTCAGGAGTGCGCACTGAAGTAACCTATGTTTCAAAATCTTCATAATCTGAAGCAAAAATCGCTCATTTACTTTGTAATGATAACGGTAGTAATAATCAAGTGTTCAAACCTCGGTATTCTGTAGTTTTTGCAGTGTTTGATGCAATAAGAGGTTATGCGATTTTTCCAAAACGCAAGACTTTTAAAAAATTATTCAGCAAAAATCTGGAAAAGCAGCTGAAAAAAGGAAAAAAACTGCATAAGTTGGCAAAAGGTTTGCCCTATCTGCTGGTTATTAGGGCTCCTCTGAAAGTCTCATACAAAAATTTTGAAAATTAGTGAAATCTGGACGTGGTGAAAACGAATGGTTGTCATTTACAGCAAATATCTCGTCACTCTCGCAACGAAACACAATGGGAGTTTAGCAGCTGGAAAGAGGAAGAAGTTCTGCATCGGACACACTTTGAAATGTTTGTTTATCCTCATTTTATCGTGTTTTCCGATAAATTGAAAAAACTAACAAAACTTTTGCACCAACCTAATATTGTCATCACCAGTTATCCTAATCGTAAATGTACTTTGATTTTCCTGTTTCATAGGCAACTTATATATCTGAAGGTGGAAGGTGTCTCGATCTCGAACGTGTAAAACCGATCAAGACCTTGTAATGTCAGATGGATAGAATGAACCGATAATGGTGCCAAGTGGTACTGTACGATAACCATATTTTGGGACATTAGAACCACAGACGTTTCGGGTTGTTTTATGCGCTCGTTGCGAATATGTACGTCTTTGTGAATTTTGTTGAAGTCTTAGGCGGGATTACTGTAGTACTACGGTGTTGTTCATAAAATGACGATAAGAGTTCTTGAACTGTCGTATTCTAAAGCAGTTGCAGGAGAGTTTCTAGCTTCCTAGAGCAAAAAACGCTAAAAATTGAAAGAAGAAAATTTTTGCAAAGTCGTTGCGCTCTGTATGTAGAAACACTACGCTAAATAACAAATCACAAATTATTTCATATTTTTTATTTCCATTTCCAATTACACAGAGGCATTTTTTCACATTATGTGATATGTACTAATACAAGTCAAGCAATTAAGGCCATTAATACAACTACACAAATCCATTACTATCACTTCACATAATTACGCATACTTTGGAGGAATTCGGATCGCTCAGGCTGAAACTTCTCGTCTTTTTCCTGTCATGTGACGCATCGGAACCGTCCGATTGCTCACTCTTCTGTGGTGATGACTTATCACAACTTCCGGACGAAGATTTATCGTGAAACCTGTTTAAAATTTCTGTTTAATTACTGCTTAAATCGAAAAAAGAAGAACCAAATGTGGTCCGATTTGCACGACAGCAACGTCATCAGGGAATTGCCACACAGGACCGCCTTCGCGCTGCATTCGTGCAAAAAGGCCGTCTCTCAGGGAAACCTACCGTAGCCGCTTGATAAATGACAAGCCTCTCGGGCTGTGTGAACGTTTGATGGCTCTTATTATGTCCTCAAGGAATGCTCTGGCTTCGTTGAATTTTGAAGAGGAAAGTAGAATAAATTCACAGTTTGGACCTATGTTACTAGCCCATTGTTGGCCCTAAAAATTTAGTCTGCGCTCACTGCAGATTCAAACTTCGAAAATTCTGAGCTGAACCTGTTCAACAGCTACTTCGACGTCTTCGCTTGCTTTGCGAATTTTTTCCATAGAATTTCTTCTTTGTATGCGTCCTTCACCTTCTGCGTCAGAGTTATATCCTAGAAAAAGGTTGTCAACAGCGCCAGTGAAGGAAAGAAATAAAGTCACCTTCTGAGACGGAAGCTATGCCAGTAGATTCACCGTCCTCCTCATCTTTGCACTCATCAGAATCACAAATCAAACGTAGAGGAATCTGAATGTTATGATTCAAATATGAATCCCTCCTCTTTTACAATATGATTTTTTCAAAACAATCTTATACACTATGCAGAAATGCCTTATTTTTTCAATTGAGCATGCAAAACTCGTTAGTACGCGGAATTTCCAATTTTTTTTAATTTCTGAGGGTACAGATTGTAAAAATCAAATCGTATTGGAAAGCTCTATCTAAGTTTCAGCTGTATGCTGGCATCGCTTTGTGGAAAGTTGTTACAAGAATTAGTATGGCTACTCCTAGCAATGTAAGTAAATACGAAAAGTCGCGACTTTGCGAGTTCTGCTGTCGAAGAATTAGGTAATCTACTGTACTTCCCAATATCTCATAGCTCTTCATTTTTGCTCTCATCACATCATTATTCCAAGTCAACCATATTTGGAAACTGGGATTTGTTTGTTTCTCATCATGCTCGACATTCTTGCTGTAGTTCAAAGGTTGTACCGCAAAAAGGGGATTGAGCCAACCATACAAGCTGGCTGAATAAATGCTAGCTTCGATCGTGGGCTCCGAAAAGCAAATTGGCTTACGAGTGATCAAGCTCAAACCCGCTCTATGATGTTAAAAGTTCCATTCTGATGAGTCAGACAAAAGGCACTGTGCTGTAAACTTGTTTGTCCAGAAACTTCTCATAATTATAACTGCTATATCTCCACAAAATTGTAGAATCATTGACAGATTTGCTTTCTGAGATAAAAACTGCAACGCAGTGTAAGTCTGCAGACATTTCTTATCCTATTTTTTCTTGTTAAGGAGACTGAGGCCTCTAAGAGCGGACCAATCACCGTCTTCGAGTACGGTGGAATGTACGGTGTGGGTAAAAGGTTAGACTGAAAATCGAAATCAACTTATAAATCTTGTAAATTAGCCCTCCAGCAATGACTCAATTTGGACCTTTCAACCAAAATCCAAAAATTTCTTATCCAAATGCCTGAAGCCTGCCTAGCGGAGACTTCATCACAGGTATTATGAATGTGATATTTGCACGTCTATAGGCTAACGATGCTATTGGAATAGCATTATTGTAAAAATGTCCAAAAAACGCTATCAATAGCAAATTACTAGAAATTGAATGGTTGCTATGGCACCACGTGACTAAATAGCATTGGCGCATATAGCCATTTTTCGTACACAATAAAAACAACACTCACATTGCTTTTCATCTTCAAATCGTCATTTAGCGTTTGCAGTTGATGTAGAGAATGAAGTGAAAGTGCAGAATAGAACAATATTGCAAGGTCGGCACGTTTTATGGCCATTTCCCTGCCTCCGGTTCGATCCTAAAATAAAATGCGATTCATTTTTTTTCATTGCTCCTGCACCTCCTGCACGAATGGGGATGAACCATTCAAAAACTGATTAGTCAGTTAACTTACAAGGCCTGGATCAGTAAATTCTATCACTTCTTGTTTATCTTTGCAATTGACGGTAAGGTAATAAACGTCCTCGTAATGAACATGGCGTTCATACTTAGCTGCTGCCTCGCACAGCTTTTCAAACTGAAAGTATGACATGAATTTGTTTGAACAAAATATTTTTGGTGTTTCTAGTGAAATCCGATGTCATTTTGAGTAAACCATCAATCAATATTTATAAGCTAAGCAATGCGTCTAAGATCAATTGAAACTGTAGATCAAATTTACGGCAATTTAAACTATATTTATTCATATTCTCTTTTTTCCATAACAATAAGATTGGGATAACCACCATGACCAGTAGACCAATAAATGGCAGTGAATGAAATAAAGAACATGTTTTGATCACTGTTGAATGGTAAACTCTGAAATCCATCTTTCATAACAAATTTTGAAGGAAAAAAATCGAAAAATGTTACTATTAGTCAGGCTTACCAAAACTTCTTCTAAATTAGTTGTTAAGCGAGCTTTAGCTACAGCTGAGCCCCAAGCCTTGAAAAAATGAATGTATCAGTTTTTTTGTCGCAAATGATTATCAAAATGTTGAATTTTCTTAGAAAGAGCTTCAAAAGATAATGACTACATCAGTGCGCTGCTGACAATTCACCGACCCAAAGTTAATATAAATTTTTTAGAAATGCTTATTTTACGCCGCGGTGCGTTTTTGTGACAAAAACGTCGCAGTGCGCTTCCTAAGAAGTTTGTCATCTGGCATATTTCTTTGTCAATATTACGAAAAATTTACAATTCAAAATCAAACTTTTTCTCTAGAAACGAGAGCTAAGTAAAAAATGATACAAAATCTCCTCCTCTCACAAAATGATGGCTAACGTCTCAAAAATTCTGCAGTCTCTAAAGCTTGTCTAGAAGTATTTACATGCGTGGAACAAGCAATTATAACTATGTACAACATAGTCGGAGTGAGGTAATAAATGAGCAGATGCAGACATTGTTTTGCTCCTTTTGCATCCGGAGCTCAAAGCTCACGGAGCACCAATGCAAACAAAGTGGACAAGATTAGTAACAAAGACGGGAATAGTTAGAGATTTCAGAATCAACGACAAAATATCACAGAGATAAAAAATGATTAACGAGGTTTGAAAGTGCTTCTTGTTTTTGGAGAATTGTTTATCCTCAATTTTAGGGGTTTTTTGCATGAATTTATTAACTCTATGATGTGGCATTTTTATAGAATAGATTTGAAAGGAGATCGATGATTAGAATTTTCGATGATTAGAAAAAATTTTCTTTCATTCTGAAAACGATTGAACCTCCACTTGTCTTTATTTCAAAAATTGTCGCATATATCCGAGCCTATAGCAGGAATTTATAGTAGAGCTGACAACAACTTAAATTCAATTGACTATAATCTTCTCATATTTTTCGAACTTATAGATTGATTTATAGCGGAATTTCAAATTTCATCATAAGAAGGAAATTATAATTTTGAAGCTTCAACGTTCTTGTTTATGTTTCATATTATTCCATCAGTCTGACAAATTTCTTTCATTGCATTTCTGCCAAACCACCGACGCAAAACTTAAGCTAGTCATCAAATGATTCAAATTCCATATTTGCACTATGACACAGATTGACATTTTCCTGCGCTTTTTATTGCAGCTAGAATTCATAAAAAAAACTTTTGTAGTTTATATATACAACAATGCTGGATAGAAACTGAATAGAATTGTAGCTAAAAATTTACTCACCAATACATTTTTTTGCGGTGCACCAAACATCACAACGCTTAATTCACTCGGATAATTTTCTTCAATCATGACTGATAGAGTATCCTAAAAAGTTATGATTAAAATTAACGCAGAAAATTTTTCAACAATGCGCAGAAGTAGATATATTTGTTAGAAATGGACTGCATAACGTGGAAAATAGCTACAACAGGAGAGATTTGCACAGATTTACGATGTTTTTCAAGTTTTATAAACACGAACGAGGATTGATACAATTCTCATATAATCCTTGTTCATAGAGAATTGCGTTTTCAAATCAGCGCCGACGTTCTGCCAGATTGATTCCACGTTCTTTGTGCTATGTATACGTGAGCGAAAAGCGCCAACTGTAAACAAACTTCGTCGCATAGGTAAATAACAGAATCTGTCCATTCAATCATGCTCAGTTTGAAAAATCACGCAAGAGCATGAGATTAAAAAAATATGGAAAGTCGTGTTCGTACAGAAACAGATGATGAAGGATAACGAGAAAAAAATTCTATATTTCATTTTTCAGCTTTAGCCAAGACTGGCAGAACGTTTTATTGGGACCAACTTTTCGGCGTTCTCGTTTTCGTCGTCCTGGCGTTGGTCCCAAACAAAAAGGTTTTCCGAGCCCTGGTCAACTTGAAAAGAAGTTTAGAGAGATATATCTATCGTGCCAAGTCTAATAGATAGTCGAGCATTAATAAAACGATGTAGGTTTCAATTATATTACCAGTTTGATAAGAATAAATGAGATCTGGCTTTTGTAAACTGGCGGATAACGGTTACATCTGCTAATTTATCGGTTCAACCAGCAAAACTTCTCAGATAATTTTAAAAATTATACACAAATTTATAAATTTTAAAAATTATACATAAATTTATATAGAATTTCTCCTCGATCAAAAAAGGAAGAAATCCAAAAAATTTCTTTCTTAGAATTTCTTGCATTTAAGACGTTCTAAGACTCTAAGACGCTAGAGGCATTGAGGCGCCGCCATAGAAGGATCAGTGCCATAATGATTATCCTAAAAAATAATGGAATAGAAATTATACAAGAATTCAAGAAAACCTCAAAGCAAAGAAGAAACTTTTGAGTATTTTTACACAGCTGTTTTAAAATTGTTGGCTATGTGTGCATTTGCACCATTGATCATTACGATAGGTGGACCTTGCCATCTCCTGAGAGGAGCAATTTGAGCTTTTTACGAAAGTTCAGGATTTTTTTTTGAAAATCACGAAGAAAATGAGATTTTCCTTCAGGTTACATTCAGAAAAATTTCTTTTTCATAAAAAAAAAGATTTATATGAATAGCTGGAGGCATAAGCAGTGAATAACCAGAGGATTTACTGTTCCATGCTTCGACAGTCCAGAGAATGCAGTTACGAGTGCCTGTAGAGCCTCGTCCGCCTCTATTTGCACAACTAAAAATCAAAGATTCAACGACTATCTGCGCTCCGCAACTTATGTTGTATCATGAGGAAAATCCTATGATTTGTGCTGTGGTTGGTTCCAATATCAAAAAAAACAATTTTTTTCTCAGAAAATAAAACGCTATGTAAATGCGTAAAATCAAAATGAAGCCCAGCAACTCTTTCCAAACATTGCACTTCTGTCACTCGATTTCTGATCAAAATTCATAAAACCAGACAAATTTTTGGTTGGATTGTTCAGAGCATTGAACGGAAACGATGTATAGAAATAAGAGCTTAACAGATAGTTCTGCTACAAGAGCAATAGGGTATAAATTGTTGTTAAACACTATTTTTTATGTCTACTTGAGTTCTTATTACATACTTTTTAGTTCTGAGCGGAAAGTTCTCTCCTACGGTTTAACATTGATCTATCGCAATTTTGATGAATGGAAAATTAATTAGAAAGGCAAATAAAAAGGGATATCGTTCCTCATTGAGTACCGAGCATAGTAATTGATGAAAATAATTTTTTTACAAAACTTAGAGTGGTTGCATGGAATGAGAAGAGCGAATGACACTTGTGTAGAATTTGATTGCGAGCTCAAGTTAATTTTTAATTTAAATCTCATTATAAAATCGTTTTGAAAAATTACAAAACGCATAATCAGGCAAGTTCATTGTGCCCACTTATTATACAGGACTGATATGCAAATTATAATCTACAATGTTCGAGAAGAGTTCACGTGTTATGAACCGGATTTCAACCACGAAAGCTTATTGTATTATTGGTCTACACGAAGGTTCTCGTTTTTGCATGCGATGTTGACGTGATATTGTGGCGAAAAACGAGAAAAAGCACGTGACCGGTTTCATCCACTTTTTTCTCGAAAAACTTGGACTATATGCGGACGGGGGGGGGGAGAGGGATTATTCGATTGTTTGAATGATTCGACACTATCCAGGATTCAATGGAAGCTAAAGAAAAGCATCTTCGTAATCAAAAAGAAATATTATATGGGTTTTCAATGCTTCTCGTTTTATCTGGACGATCGCAAAGTTTGCGCAAGGCTGAACAGACTTGAAAAGCATTCGATATAGCTTTTCTCACACAAAATCTCTGAAATAAGTTTACCCATTTATCATTCCCAAACTCGCTAAAAATTCCGCTAGTTTTAGAATATATTCTGAACTTTAGGAGAATTGAATGGCGAACACGAAGAGCGAAATTTTGGGCAGTACGTCTTCTTGAACTCGTACATTTTGGAGTCTCCAAAACTATACAGTGTCCCAAAAAATGTGCCTGCTGTTTAATTGTTGATAGGTCTCATGTCATAAAGTCTTTGGAAAAGCTTTAGGTACCATTTTGTATAGCAGGCTTCAACTTAGATTTACAGTATGGACACAATCACCGATCACTCATTCGTACTGTAAGACTACGGTAAAAATTATCAGTGTATAGCGCCACTGTGAAATTGGCCGTTAGAGAATAAAAAATCGAAAAATCTTAAAGACTGTGTAGCGGTGTTTTCACGCATACGTGATTCATTGCACAACATTTTTCTAGCTTTAGGAGCTTCTTTGAATGGTGTAATCAAATATTTGGGGAGTATCAAAAAACCGTTTATTACGGTATATTTGGTATAGTTTAAAGAAGAAGCATTACGGTGCACTACTTGTTTCATATTGGGAATCAACGGCTCTAATTAGCGCAGAATGAGAGTTTCCTGATCATTCGATTGCTTTTCACAAGTGGTGGTCTATAACAAATCAAAACCTTCTTCAAAGCTCTCGCCGTGATTTTGTACGAATAAGTGATCAGTAATTCGTTCCACACCGTAATTCTAAGTTGAGCCAGCCCTAAAAAATGGCACCTATAGCTTTTCGAAAGACTTCATGACAAGAGAGCTATTAACAATCAAACAGTAGGTGCTTTTTGGGACTGTATTTGAATGCGTACAATGTAATTACAGCAAAACCATAAATTCTATAAGAAAGCATTCGTTAAACAAATTAGTTAAGGCTACGAATCGCTCCAAAAAAACTAGATTCTAGGAGTTCGTATGTTTACGCATTATGGAACATGCTTTTGAAAAGCAGGAGTAATTTTGAAGAAGTTCCAAACTCGGAAAGATGATCTGAAAAATCTAAGCATTTAATTTATGTGTCTGCTGTTCTTACCTTCAAACAAAAACAAAAATTTTTGATAAGGGGGAACGGGTGCAGTAACAAGCTTCCTCATGGAGCTATGAAAATAGAAGAAACATGAGTATGAATCAGAGATGAGAAGGGGTCACTAGAAGAAGGAGGCAAACCAAAATACTTTGGCAGCTCCTAAGTTGGGCTAATCTGTAAGATCTGATGACTCACCAGAATAAGCGCAAAAACATTTTCAAATGAAAAAAAAACTTCATTTGCAGCAGTGGCACACATAACTTCCTGACTCATAGAACAAGAATGTTAATCCATTCTGTCACCTACTAGCTAAATGAAGACAATCATGTTTCAACTTTTCTATTTATTCAAAGGTCACGAGTTCAACCTGAGATGATGAAACTCGAACAAGGACGAGTAAACTAAAGCCGGAAAGAAGTGTATCCTATTCATGTAAACTATTTGCTCTCCACTGTCTCACGGATGAAACTGCTAACTCAAACTGGTTTTTAGCTAAGATGTAAAAGTTCATCTAGAAAGAGCAAATATAGAAAAAGACAAGCCGCAGTCCCGTTAATAACCTTATTTTATGGGGCTAAAGTCGATTAACATACGATTATTCTTAATGAGTAGCCAAGAGAAAATGTCAGTTAATGCTAATGAGACGATGATAATTTGATTTCAATTATGGATCAGTTGAGTAGAGAATGACGACTGATTTTTACACCATTGTAGAAATAAAACTTCACTCCATATTTTAGGTAATCACTATGTGGAAAAGATGATTCAGTGTTGATTGGGGAATAGCTGACATAGAAAAGAAAATTTTGGCGGACACAGCGATAATCTCATTGTATAATCTGAGATTCCTTTCTCAATTCTAATTTCTGGGATATTATATTGAAGTGCGAAGAAAATATCTCAGCCTTCATCCTAACACTAAGCTAGGTTTCTCTCCCCCCTCCCCCCCCCCGCCCACCTCACCCCCGTACGAGTTCCCCTAACAACCATCGGATCGTGTTCAAGTGATTGTGTTTAGCGACATATACCTAACTAACTAGCAGGTAACCCGGTCTTTTACTAATTTTTTAGTCTCGACTGACTCGCACAGAAAGTATAGGACTTCTAACCCAATGAGCCGTATGAGCTTGAAGTTGTATCATAAAAACAATTCATGCTCGCTTGCGTCAGGGGCAAAAAAATTCAAGATGTAGATTTTTTAAGAAACTAATGAGCACAAGTTAGGAAACGATCAGGTTTTTTGAGATTTTGCAACTTTTTGGGAAGCTGCCAAGATAGCACGTTACCGATTCCGTAGCTGGATAAGTAGTATACCCGAAATATGCTGAAACCACATCTGCAGTCTTGTTGACATTACAAGAATCGACTGCTTCATGGGACACGTAAGGACAGAGCATAAGAAGCACTAAAGCTTTGTTTACTCTTACCTGTACCACGTGTTATGCTTCGTTGAACGACCACAGCTCCGAAAAGTTGTGTAGAAATGGAGAATC